GCACGCTAACAATGCCATCTACGCTGATGACTAGTTAAACTGCGACAGTGGGAGTGCGGGAGGTATTACAATGCAGAGGTGTATTAGAAGTAATAAATGGGCATCCACCTTACACATTGATCTGTTGGAAAAGAACTAGCAAACTAGCAACTAAATAAATACTGAATAATTGTATCTCATAAATTGTATCTCATAAATGTTTCTCATTATTGTATCTCATAAATGTCTAACCTGTGACCCAATCAAACTTTGTTATTTTTTAATTACATTACCTAACAGAATACTCCATTCTACTGAATGCTCAGCAACACAGTAAATGACAGTATGACCTGTCTTTGTAATACGTACTCATTTGTGCTAAATTGTTATCTGTTTACAATAATGTTTTTACCACTGAATATATCATTTCTTAGTTAATCTTAAGTTAATTTTAAGCTGCCCATAATGCTCTGCATACAAGGGACTTTGGCATGTTACACTGTAATAACTGTATTCCTTTGTACTTCACTGTATCATATTCAAATAATAAATAAATAAATAAATAGTACGACTGTACAGATATGAGCTAGTAGATCCATTGTTCATCATAATAAAAGGTGTTAAATAAAATATTTCTATGGAGACACTGACAAGATCAGTGTAAGTCAGTTTCAGGTATACACTAATACAGTGACATAGATTATCATACATAGCAGCCAGGCCACGGTGCCCCGTGGCTTGTGGCTAAAGCTCTCGCTTTACACGGCGAATGTCTGGGTTCGGTTCCTAGCGAGGGTAGAAACATTGGGCATGTTTCTTTACACCGGTTGTCTATGTTCACCCATCAGTAAAATGGGTACCTGGGTGTTAGTCGACTGGTGTGGGTGGCATCCTGGGACAAAATTTACTTAATTTGCCCGAAATGCTCTGAGAGCATAACAAAGAGCTTTCTATATACGTAGTAGCATGTCATTGATGTCAGCTAGACCTGTATACCTTGTACATGTACTTGTAGAAATAAAGATATTATTATTATTATATGTGTAAAGAACCTAGGATAACCCAAAAACGTCACACCGAGTGACTTATTTTCATCGGAGTCCAAGACTACAAGACATTATTACTGCCAGTGCCAGGCTAAGGCTAGGCAATAATTATATACCTCTGGAAAACCCGTTTATATGGAGATGACAATGTATGGACAGAGACAGTGCCATACACTAGTACAATATATTTTAAAGGGTCCAAACATGAAACCATTTAGATATACGTCCAAACAAATCTTACAGAAAACTGCGTAGATTAGCTAGCTATGTAAAGAATTTGTAATGTATAATATTATTAATATCTTTGAGATGTAATCATGCTCAGTGAGGTCTGATGTATAGTGACCTCTGCAATCCGGTTCTTAGTGCTCTACCACTTAAGGGATGAATTGCAGGAACACAATAAACTACCCGCTCAGGCGACACAAAGCAGTAAATGGGGGGGGGGGGGAATGGTGGTGGCTCGGGAAAGGTGGAAGGGAGGAGGGTGGGAAAGGAGAGGGATTAAGATTGATGAGGAGAAAGGGAGGAAGAGGCAATAGAGGAAGGCAAATGTTAAGAGGATTGTGGAAGAGTGTGGTAGGTGGAGTGTGGTAGGTGGAGCGTGGTAGGTGGAGTGTGGTAGGTGGAGGTGTAGGTGGTGGTAGGTGGAATATGGTAGTGTGGAGCGTGGTAGGTGGAGTGTGGCAGGTGGAGTGTGGTAGGTGGAGTGTGGTAGGTGGTAGGTAGTGGAGGTGAGGTGGAGGTGGTAGGTGGAGTGTGGTAGGTGGAGTGTGGTAGGTGGAGTGTGGTAGGTGGAGTGTGGTGGTAGGTGGAGTGTGGTAGGTGTGGAATATGGTAGGTGGAGTGTGGTAGGTGGAGTGTGGTAGGTGGAGTGTGGTAGGTGGAGTGTGGTAGGTGGAGTGTGGTAGATGGAGTGTGGCAGGTGGATAACATTTATATATTATATATATATATATATATATATATATATATATATATATATATATATATATATATATATATTATATATATATATATACATATATGTGTGTGTGTGTGTGCGTGTGTATGTGTACTCACCTAGTTGTACTCACCTAGTTGTACACCTAGTTGAGGTTGCGGGGGTCGAGTCCGAGCTCCTGGCCCCGCCTCTTCACTGATCGCTACTAGGTCACTCTCCCTGAGCCGTGAGCTTTATCATACCTCTGCTTAAAGCTATGTATGGATCCTGCCTCCACTACATCGCTTCCCAAACTATTCCACTTACTGACTACTCTGTGGCTGAAGAAATACTTGTGTGTGTGTGTGTGTGTGTGTGTGTGTGTGTGTGTGTGTGTGTGTGTGTGTGTGTGTGTGTGTGTGTGTGTGTGTTGTGTGGTGTGTGTGTGTGTGTGTGTGTGTGTGTGTGTGTGTGTGTGTGTGTTGTGTGTGTGTGTGTGTGTGTGTGTGTGTGTGTGTGTGTGTTGTTTCTTTGCCTCTTGTTTGGTAGCTTGAAAGTGTGACCTCTTGATCTATGTTGCTCGTGTTTTTACTCATCTATTTTTTCAAATTAAGACAGTTGAGTCTAAGCTCCTGGCCCCGCCTCTGAACTGATAATGACTAAGTTTACTTAGCCTTGTGGATCCTATCAAACCTGTTCTTGAGGTTGTGTTAGGAATCTGCCTCTCCTTCTTCATTCAGGTAATTCAACTTCAGACCATCTTGAACCTGATAGAATATTTTCTGAAAATCACTCTGGCTCTTGTATTTTCCTTTCTCGCCTCTCGAAGTCTTTTCTTGATCACCCTATCAAATAGTATTCTGAACATTCCTTACGTCGTAATCATGCCTCTCCTGGTTCTTTTACCTTCTACACGTACTCCATTTCACTGTGCTCCTGAACTTAATCAAGGAATATAAAGTAGATGAAAAAATCATATAAAACCCTAATCAAGCCTATCTTAACCTAGCCAAAATTGTAACCTTTTGCTTTTTTTTTTTTAGTCACCCCAGAACCAGCCTCAATGTAAACCTCTGAACTTTCTCAAATTACGGCAGATGTTTTATTACGAGTGCATTCAGTGATGGCGCTGCGTACTACATGACGCAGGTGACATGCACTGATGGTTATGCGTGACTCTATTGAGGTTCCTGAAAGTTAATTTTAGGACCGCAGCTCGACACCACCGCTTGGTCCTTGTGAGGCTTACAGTCTCTCTCTCTCTCTCTCTCTCTCTCTCTCTCTCTCTCTCTCTCTCTCTCTCTCTCTCTCTCTCTCTCTCTCAAGTTTTTACATCAATTTTTCTGATTTTTCCATAAACTTTCAACGCATTTCGAAACCTTATATTTACTCAGGTTATATTATAGTTTTGTTCCATATTATCATAAGTTATTAACGGTAATTTACATTTATTGTTGACTCTCTTCGCTGCCTCGCCCTGGTGTCTACTACTGCACATTTCTCCCGTTTCACTCCATTTCTCTGATAATATTTTAATATTTCTTGTACCCTCGGTGCCTGTTGTTGTCCTCCTTTTCCATGACGCCTGTTGACACTTGCCTCTCTAGACAGGAATCTAAGAAACAGTAAATATTTGCTGACCTCGGTGAGAGGATGAAAGGAGAATGAAAATATTTTAGACAGTTTGCTGAGATGACTAGACGGATGAACTGACCAACAGTTGAACGGATCTCCCCTCCCCACTCAGCACACAGATCTCCCCCCACTCAGCACACAGATCTCCCCCCCACTCTGCACACAGATCTCCCCCCACTTTGCACACAGATCTCCCTCCCCCACTTTGCACACAGATCTCCCCCCACTCAGCACACAGATCTCCCCCCACTCTGCACACAGATCTCCCCCCCCCACTCTGCACACATTAAAGGAGAAAGAAAAATTAGATAAACATAATATCGACATACTCAGACGAACTGGCAAGGTGGACAGGGACAGGGTGCTCGAGGAGGGGAAGGGGTGCAGTACACGAGGGCACAGCAGGAAGATAAAAAGAAACAGATTAGTCTCAGGGATGTCAGGAAGCATTTCTTCAGTCTCAGAGTGGTCAGGAAGTGGGGTGATCTGGACAATGAAGTGGTAGAGGCAGGACCTATACACAGCTTTTAGACTAGGCATAATATGGATCATGAAGTCAGAAGAGAGTGATCCAATGAGCGATCAATTTGAGAGGCAGGGCCAGGAACTGAGACTCGACTCCTGTAACCACAGATAGGTGAGTACACACAAAGAGTATAACATCAACCAAGCTTGTTCTTCCGCAGTTGTTCCTGGTGACCCTGGTAGGTGTCGTCTCCGCCGCCCCTCAGTTCGAAGTCGACCCTAACGAGGTAATTATCACCCTCCGCCAACACCTTGTCAGAGTAAACATTGACTCTTAGTGCTAACTCATGCAACTTAGTGTGTGTAGAGTTGTGGCGACCTTAGACTGTTCAGTAAAAAAGAGAAGTTTCTTAAATTTGGGTGGAATTATTTTAAACTAATCCATACACTGACATTTCGGTCCCTTCTGGATGCATTATCAAATTACAGTAATGCATCCCTTCTGGATGCATTATTGTGATTTAATGGTCCAGGACGGACCGAAACGTTGTCTAGTTTTCATTTCCCATTTGTGGTTCAATTATTATTATTATTATTATAATCAAAAAGAAGCGCTAAGCCACAAGGGCTATACAGCTCGTGGTTCAATTGAGAAGATTTCTTTCGATTTTTTTTTGTTGAAAGTATTATTATTTTTGTCAAGTCTCTCTCTCTCACCTTCAACCTAGTACTAAAGTGCTGTTCTTGCAGCCGCCGACGCCCTATGACTTTGGGTACGGTGTGTACATTGAGGAGACGGGTGACGCCAAGGAACACAAGGAGTCCGTCTCCCCGTCAGGACGGACCGAGGGAGAGTACCGCTGGCTACAGCCCAACGGACTCTTCAGGTAGGTCCCCTTCAGCTCTGCGTACCTTGTACGTAAGTATAACCAAGGTCCCCTTCAGTTCTGCTTGCTCGTAGGTAAGCATAGGCAATTATAATATTAACCCACAATGGCAAATGATTCAATTTCAATTTCTCAGTGTATATATGCTGAGAGTTTATTTTAACACATATTTTAGGAATCAAAATATCTTTGACGGTGAATAGGTGACACGCAATTTTAATAAACCTCGTATAATCAAAAGGCTTTAAACTAAATAAACCAACAAATAATAATTATCAGTTTCAGTTGCATGTTGACACTGTAACATATGCAGGTATAGCCATGTTTAAACTGTAATAAGTCCAGTGTTTGCTGTCTACTGTTATTCCTAGCATCATGTGTTTTTTCAAGGAGAAAGTGAAACTTGCGGTGGAGTTTGTCTCAAGGTTGTGAAAAGAACTTCAGGGTGAATTTGCTATGTCATTACTTAAGGCGTGTGTCAAGGAAATTACCAATGCCTTCACTGTGATGCTGAAATGCAGGTAGCTAGCACCAAGAGCCTGACTTACCAGGCCATCAGTCAAGAGGCCTGGTATTAGACTGGGTCGCAAGGGCGATGATTCCCTGAACCATCTGAAGTTTGTAAAGTAAAAGGACACAAGTGCAATATGTACATATTTGCAACGTTTCGTCTCGGGGCTTTTATCCCTCTTTTTCAATTACCAGGTAACAATTATAAAGGTTCAGAATGAAGATGTAATACTATAGGTCCTGCATTTCATATTTTGAAAATTAGTGTATATGTGTTTTTATTAATGTTCAATTTTAATGCACTGTAGCACTATTGGACAAAAAATATTACGGCTTTGGGTTTTCACAAAAAATGTTGACAATTAAACTGGAATGAGGCACGTTGTTCAGTGTTCACTCTCCTTTCTTAGTTACAGGGATACTATGGGCAGGTTACGTTCAGGGTTTTAATCTGCAAGTGGAGTGAAGCCGGCCGTGTTTTGTTCAGTTTAATTTATACAATACAATAACAAGACCAAGGCACTTCAGCATCTCCAATCTTCAGCTTGCAAGAGATTATGCCATCCTAAAACAGTAACCGCCCAACATCACCGTCTCCCATGTTAACACACAAAGCACAGAACGTGAACACTGAAACAACCTGCCTCATTCCAGTTTATATTTGTCCAACCTATTTTTATGTTACCCAAGTAATAGCTTTTATATCCTTTTACTCATGTACGAATTAATTGCTTTTGTCACTACCACTACTACTACTACTACTACCACTAGTGAACATCGGAATGGTACCTCACTAGTATTCACCTCACTCTGAGCCTTTATATACCCTCTGTGTCCATGTATTGTTTGTAATGGCTTGATAAAGCTCCTGGAGAGCGAAACGTTGCCACAATAAATGTCACATTAGTTGCACTTGTGTCCTTTTACTTTACATATTGTCGGTAATTCTACCAACTTTATTACCATCTGAAGTTTGTTTATAAGTTGGTATAGTGTACTAACTACAACTTCTTGTCTCGCTTTGTTCTCCCTTCTGTTTGTCTTTCCAGTTTAATTATCAAGTATTGTTCAACTTAATAAAATGTAGTTCTTATTATCTACCTGCATTTTAAATTATTATTGAAAATTAGCTGATATGTGTTTTTATTTTGTTTTATTTTTTGTATGCACTGTAGCACTAAGTTGTGAACAAAAAATATTCACCGGCTTTGTTTTGCACTAAAACTTAATCCTTACACTTGACTACAGACTTCAGCCTCGGCTGTCTCTCCTTCCTCAGGGTGGTCCGATACTATGTGGATGGCGACTCAGGTTTTCAAGCCCAAGTGAGTGAAGAACCCGGCCCGGACGTCGTCAATTACTATACCAACTCCCTCAGCCAAGAGACATCTTCAGGGACAGCCGCATCTCAGGGCTTGGCTAAGAGCATTGATGTTGGCCAATCTACCCTAGGAATCGCTGCCAACCTGATCAGCGCCCGCCAGCCCAGTCGCAGCCGCCCGGCCACTCTCAAACCCGCACAGACATTCCAAAGTCAACAACAGAGCTTCAGTAGGCAACAGAGCTTCCGAAACCAACAGAGCTTCAACAGCCAACAAGGATCTTTTGGCAATGTGATTGATGGCGGGATCATTGATGGCGGGATCATCGATGGTGGAATCATTGATGGAGGAATCATCGACGGCGGTTTTATCAATTAAACAAGTTTTGAAATTGACTACAGATGCGACCCTCGCTCCCAAGTAGACAGTACACACGAATGTTGGAAATGGTATTAAATACCGACAAACTGAAGATTAAGACACATGTGTAACAGTTAGGTATCTTTATTGATGAAACATTTCGACAACACAGTAGACTTCTTTAGTAAATCCAGAGGGAGCAGTAGTACTGCTCCCTCTGGATTTAACTGAAGAAGCCTACTGTGTAGGCTAAATGTTTTATGAATAAAGATACCTAACTGTTGTACCTGTGTCTTAATCTTCAGTACACATGAAGCACAGAGAATACGAGTCGGCAGCCATCATTCATGAAACCCGTGGATATGGCAAACATGGAAATAAGTAAATCAAATCAAGGAACGGGTGGGTCTTGAACCCATGGCCAGTGAGTCCTAGGACTCACTAGCCATTTCGTGAGTCATGATGGTAATAAGGTCGCCCTAACTGAAAAAAAAGAGGTCTAAGATCTACATCTTCTGTGGAGACGTTTAAGTTATCTTGCCTCTTGCTTGTCTGGCAACAGATCATTGTAGTCATCTGTATAGATTTTGCTTTGTTGATGCTGAGGAACAACGTCGACAGTGGATGACTTGTTACCATTAGTTTTAGCTCGGTGGACTCAAATAGAATCCTTGTTGATACAGTTATAAACTCGAGTTGAAGTTCAGGTTTGACTGAAATTTCTGAACTTGTTTGAAGCCGACTCATATTCACAGTATTTCATTAATATATATATATATATGTTCTATATATTTTTATATTTTGTTTGTGTTACGAATAAAAATTAATAGTAAATTTATCTTTATTATTCACAATTTAACCTGTATAGTACCTCTTGTGACTTGATGCGTTCTTTTTGATTAATAATAAAAAATTCACAATTTAATAACCTCTGTATGAACGTAATGCCTCATTAACTAGAAACTTCCCGTGGTGGAAGTCCAGTTTCCTCATTCAATAAAGCAAAGTGATACTATAGAGAGTGAAAATAAACTTCGATGTAGTTAAATCCTTAGTTGAAATAAGAAACAGTCAGCATGAAACTAGATCCTCAATAATATGCAAATGCACGTACGCCTAACCCAGTTCACTTTTCTAGTTGCCCAGCTTGATATTTAAACAGAATGCTAGTTTGAGCAGTAGCCACTGCAGTTACTACTTATGTCTATTCTGGTGATTGCACATAGACAAATATCTTCAAATATACGAGCATTTAAAGTTTAAGCCATTCAGAATTTTTGAAGTCAGTCAGATGAGACACTCACAAATCAGCGTAAAACAAGATTTTTTAATTTGGTATCCATTCATACATACACATACATACATACAGTTCATATACATAGATGTATACATATATGTGTTGCTGCTTTACAAATTACAATGGCCTTGCACTACGCCGTTTGTATGCTTTGAGGTAGACAGAGATGTGCCTAGGAAATACGAGGATATTTTTAAACACAGTCGAAACCAAAAATAAATCCTTATTTTTTCATAAGATGCGTCAGCTAAAATAACTGATATCGGAAAAATACTATTCCATTTTTAAAATAAATTCAACAAATGAACACCTATATGCTCCAATAACCATCCTAACTCTCGCAACTTATCATTAATAATAATAATAATAATTATATATATATATATATATATTTATTTACTACAGTACCTGTACAAGGTATACAGATCATAGCTGACATCAGTGACATAATACTATATACAAAGCCACTTGTTATTACCTGGAGTTTACCTGGAGAGATATGCAGAGCATTTCCCGCAAATTAGGTCAGTTTTGTCCCAGGATGCGACCCACACCAGTCGACTAACACTGATGGGTGAACATAGACAACTGGTGTAAAGAAATATGTCCAATGTTTCTACCCTCGCTGGTAATCGAACCCAGACCCTCGCCGCTTGAAGCGAGAGCTTTAGCCACCAGGCCACGGGGCCACTGTTTAAGAATTTTTTTTTTTTGAAAAGTTTAATTTTTAAGGGAGTTCGGCCTATTCGGCAAGTTCAACACAGCCAGATAGTATCTGAGTGGAAGAGTCAGTATCTGAGTGGAAGAGTCAGTATCTGACTGGAAGAGTCAGTATCTGAGTGGAAGAGTCAGTATCTGAGTGGAAGAGTCAGTAATCAGAGTGGAAAGTCAGTATCTGAGTGGAAGAGTCAGTATCTGAATGGAAGAGTCAGTATCTGATTGGAAGAGTCAGTATCTGAGTGGAAGAGTCAGTATCTGAGTGGAAGAGTCAGTATCTGAGTGGAAGAGTCAGTATCTGAGTGGAAGAGTCAGTATCTGAATGGAAGAGTCAGTATCTGAGTGGAAGAGTCAGTATCTGAGTGGAAGACAGCAGCTGAGTCAGTATATGAGTGGAAGAGTCAGTATCTGAGTGGAAGAGTCAGCATCTGAATGGAAGAGTCAGTATCTGAGTGGAAGACAACAGCTGAGTCAGTATATGAGTGGAAGAGTCAGTATCTGAGTGGAAGAGTCAGTATCTGAATGGAAGAGTCAGTATCTGAAAGGAAGAGTCAGTATCTGAATGAGTCAGTATCTGAATGGAAGACTTAGTATCTGAGTGGAAGAGTCAGTATCTGAATGGAAGAGTCAGTATCTGAGTGGAAGAGTCAGTATCTGAATGGAAGAGTCAGTATCTGAATGGAAGAGTCAGTATCTGAATGGAAGAGTCAGTATCTGAATGGAAGAGTCAGTATCTGAATGGAAGAGTCAGTATCTGAATGGAAGAGTCAGTATCTGAATGGAAGAGTCAGTATCTGAATGGAAGAGTTAGTATCTGAGTGGAAGAGTCGGTATCTGAGTGGAAGAGTCAGTATCTGAGTGGAAGACAGCAGCTGAGTCAGTATCTGAGTGGAAGACAGCAGCTGAGTCAGTATCTGAGTGGAAGACAGCAGCTGAGTCAGTATCTGAGTGGAAGACAGCAGCTGAGTCAGTATCTGAGTGGAAGACAGCAGCTGAGTCAGTATCTGAGTGGAAGAGTCAGTATCTGAGTGGAAGACAGCAGCTGAGTCAGTATCTGAGTGGAAGACAGCAGCTGAGTCAGTATCTGAGTGGAAGACAGCAGCTGAGTCAGTATCTGAGTGGAAGACAGCAGCTGAGTCAGTATCTGAGTGGAAGACAGCAGCTGAGTCAGTATCTGAGTGGAAGAGTCAGTATCTGAGTGGAAGAGTCAGTATCTGAGTGGAAGAGTCAGTATCTGAGTGGAAGAGTCAGTATCTGAGTGGAAGAGTCAGTATCTGAAGGGAAGAGTCAGTATCTGAATGGAAGAGTCAGTATCTGAATGGAAGAGTCAGTATCTGAATGGAAGACTTAGTATCTGAATGGAAGACTTAGTATCTGAGTGGAAGAGTCAGTATCTGAATGGAAGAGTCAGTATCTGAATGGAAGACTTAGTATCTGAGTGGAAGAGTCAGTATCTGAATGGAAGAGTCAGTATCTGAGTGGAAGAGTCAGTATCTGAATGGAAGAGTCAGTATCTGAATGGAAGAGTCAGTATCTGAGTGGAAAAGTCAGTATCTGAATGGAAGAGTCAGTATCTGAATGGAAGAGTCAGTATCTGAATGGAAGAGTCAGTATCTGAGTGGAAGAGTCAGTATCTGAATGGAAGAGTCAGCATCTGAATGGAAGAGTCAGTATCTGAATGGAAGAGTCAGTATCTGAATGGAAGAGTCAGTATCTGAATGGAAGAGTCAGTATCTGAATGATAGTCAGTATCTGAATGGAAGACTTAGTATCTGAGTGGAAGAGTCAGTATCTGAATGGAAGAGTCAGTATCTGAGTGGAAGAGTCAGTATCTGAATGGAAGAGTCAGTATCTGAATGGAAGAGTCAGTATCTGAGTGGAAGAGTCAGTATCTGAATGGAAGAGTCAGTATCTGAATGAAAGAGTCAGTATCTGAGTGGAAGAGTCAGTATCTGAATGGAAGAGTCAGCATCTGAATGGAAGAATCAATATCTGAATGGAAGAATCAGTATCCGAGTGGAAGAGTCAGTATCTGAATGTGAGAGACAGTATCTGAGTGGGACCTGGCTGTCGGCCTGGGCTCTGCAAATCCAGAAACAGGACACCTCACCTGCCCGCGCTCGTTTCGCTTCACAGGCAACAGGTAAAACGGGTAGCGGAGTGTATACACGAGTGCGAGTGAGTGGCACACTGAGTGTAACATTAGAAACACCTGCCATGAATGGTGAAGATGCGTTTCACTCATGCCAGGCGCAGTATGTGTGTTGACTTCACACAAAACTAATTTTAAGGAGCACGTAAGTTTCCCCCTTTCTCTAACAACGTGTTCATTTTCCCACTTATTTATTATTATTATTATTAAAGATTCGCCGGTATTCTCCCGGCCCAGGCCTTTTCCAAGTGGTGGCCCGGCCTTGGCTCCCTGTCTTGGGAGTGCCTGAGACCTAAGTCTCCCATGGGAGGGGGCACAAGTACCTCCTCATCTTTGGGACCAACTGTCCCCAGGCCTAACCACAAGCTAGGCCTCTCTGGTCTGCCATCCCCGCCCCAGGGGAGCTAATGGGAATGACAGTCTTGTGAGCTGCAGGCTCCGGCTCAGGCACCTACCCTACCCTAGAAGGGCTGAGCATGGTGTCGATGATTTTCCCACTATAACCTACCTTAAATGGCAATGCTCTTCTTGCCGAATAAAACAAGCGAAAATTTGTGTATGCAATAATTTCGCAAAAATCTTTCTGAATCTAACGAAAAAAACATTTCATTGTCTATGTTTGTTACTAAATTATTGTAAATTATATAAAATATATTTAGTTGGATTAGGGTAAAATAAATTGCGTTGTTATAATAAGGTTAGGTAAGTGTCTTAAGGTTCTTTTGGTATAAAATCGTTAATTTTTATATTACCTGGAGTTTACCTGGAGAGAGTTCCGGGGGTCAACGCCCCCGCGGCCCGGTCTGTCACCAGGCCTCCTGGTGGATCAGAGCCTGATCAACCAGGCTGTTACTGCTGGCTGCACGCAAACCAACATACGAGCCACAGCCCGGCTGATCAGGAACTGACTTTAGGTGCTTGTCCAGTGCCAGCTTGAAGACTGCCAGGGGTCTGTTGGTAATCCCCCTTATGTGTGCTGGGAGGCAGTTGAACAGTCTCGAGCAGCTGACACTTATTGTATGGTCTCTTAACGTGCTAGTGACACCCCAGCTTTTCATTGGAGGGATGGTGCATCGTCTGCCAAGTCTTTTGCTTTCGTAGTGAGTGATTTTCGTGTGCAAGTTCGGTACTAGTCCCTCTAGGATTTTCCAGGTGTATATAATCATGTATCTCTCCCGCCTGCGTTCCAGGGAATACAGGTTTAGGAACCTCAAGCGCTCCCAGTAACTGAAGTGTTTTATCTCCGTTATGCGCGCTGTGAAAGTTCTCTGTACATTTTCTAGGTCAGCAATTTCACCTGCCTTGAAAGGTGCTGTTAGTGTGCAGCAATATTCCAGCCTAGATAGAACAAGTGACCTGAAGAGTGTCATCATGGGCTTGGCCTCCCTAGTTTTGAAGGTTCTCATTATCCATCCTGTCATTTTTCTAGCAGATGCGATTGATACAATGTTTTGGTCCTTGAAGGTGAGATCCTCCAACATGATCACTCCCACGTCTTTGACGTTGGTGTTTCGCTCTATTTTGTGGCCAGAATTTGTTTTGTACTCTGATGAAGATTTAATTTCCTCGTGTTTACCATATCTGAGTAATTGAAATTTCTCATCGTTGAACTTCATATTGTTTTCTGCAGCCCACTGAAAGATTTGGTTGATGTCCGCCTGGAGCCTTGCAGTGTCTGCAATGGATGACACTGTCATGCAGATTCGGGTGTCATCTGCAAAGGAAGACACGGTGCTGTGGCTGACATCCTTGTCTATGTCGGATATGAGGATGAGGAACAAGATGGGAGCGAGTACTGTGCCTTGTGGAACAGAGCTTTTCACCGTAGCTGCCTCGGACTTTACTCTGTTGACGACTACTCTCTGTGTTCTGTTAGTGAGGAAATTATAGATCCATCGACCGACTTTTCCTGTTATCCCTTTAGCACGTATTTTGTGCGCTATTATGCCATGGTCACACTTGTCGAAGGCTTTTGCAAAATCTGTATATATTACATCTGCATTCTTTTTATCTTCTAGTGCATTTAGGACCTTGTCGTAGTGATCCAATAGTTGAGACAGACAGGAGCGACCTGTTCTAAACCCATGTTGCCCTGGGTTGTGTAACTGATGGGTTTCTAGATGGGTGGTGATCTTGCTTCTTAGGACCCTTTCAAAGATTTTTATGATATGGGATGTTAGTGCTATCGGTCTGTAGTTCTTTGCTGTTGCTTTACTGCCCCCTTTGTGGAGTGGGGCTATGTCTGTTGTTTTTAGTAACTGTGGGACGACCCCCGTGTCCATGCTCCCTCTCCATAGGATGGAAAAGGCTCGTGATAAGGGCTTCTTGCAGTTCTTGATGAACACGGAGTTCCATGAGTCTGGCCCTGGGGCAGAGTGCATGGGCATGTCATTTATCGCCTGTTCGAAGTCATTTGGCGTCAGGATAACATCGGATAGGCTTGTGTTAACCAAATTCTGTGGCTCTCTCATAAAAAATTAATTTTGATCTTCGACTCTCAGTCTGGTTAGCGGCTTGTTAAAAACTGAGTCATATTGGGACTTGAGTAGCTCACTCATTTCCTTGCTGTCATCTGTGTAGGACCCATCTTGTTTAAGTAGGGGCCCAATACTGGACGTTATTCTCGACTTTGATTTGGCATAGGAGAAGAAATACTTTGGGTTTCTTTCGATTTCATTTATGGTTTTTAGTTCTTCCCGCGATTCCTGACTCCTATAAGATTCCTTTAGCTTAAGTTCGATGCTTGCTATTTCTCTGACCAGTGTCTCCCTACGCATTTCAGATATATTGACCTCTTTTAGCCGCTCTGTTATTCTTTTCCGTCGCCTGTAAAGGGAGCGCCTGTCTCTTTCTATTTTACATCTACTCCTCCTTTTTCTTAGAGGAATAAGCCTTGTGCATACATCGAGTGCCACCGAGTTAATCTGTTCTAGGCATAAGTTGGGGTCTGTGTTGCTTAGTATATCTTCCCAGCTTATATCGGTTAGGACTTGGTTTACTTGGTCCCACTTTATGTTTTTGTTATTGAAGTTGAATTTGGTGAATGCTCCCTCGTGACTAATCTCATTATGTCGGTCTGGGGCTCCACGCATACATGTCTGAACCTCAATTATGTTGTGATCTGAGTATATTGTTTTTGATATGGTGACATTTCTTATCAGATCATCATTGTTAGTGAAGATGAGGTCTAGTGTATTTTCCAGTCTAGTAGGCTCTATTATTTGCTGGTTTAAATTGAATTTTGTGCAGAGATTTAAAAGCTCGTGTGAGTGTGAGTTTTCATCAGAGCTGCCTCCTGGTGTTATTACTGCAACAATATTATTTGCTATATTCCTTCATTTTAGGTGCCTTAAGTTGGAATCCCCCAGGAGCAAGATGTTGGGTGCAGGAGCTGGAAGATTTTCCAGACAGTGGTCAATTTTTAACAGCTGTTCCTGGAATTGCTGGGATGTTGCATCCAGAGGCTTGTAGACTACCACAATGACTAGGTTTTGGTTCTCGACCTTTACTGCTAAAACTTCCACTACATCATTTGAGGCATTAAGCAGTTATGTGCAAGCAAGTGACTCTGCAATGTACAGGCCAACCCCCCCCCCTTTTGCCTGTTCATTCTGTCACATCTGTATAGGCTGTAACCTGGGATCCATATTTCGTTGTCCAAGTGATCCTTTATGTGGGTCTCAGTGAAAGCCGCGAACATTGCCTTTGCCTCTGCAAGCAGTCCACGGATGAAAGGTATTTTGTTATTTGTTGCTGGCTTTAGACCCTGAATATTTGCAAAGAAGAATGTCATCGGACTGGTGGTATTGTTGGTACTGGGGGGGGGGATTTTTTTTCCGGCATTAGCATCTATATCTGTTGGTTTGGAGTGGAGGCCATCGACTGTGGTTCCACTCCAGTAATGACTGGATTTGGTGTACGATTTCTGCCATTTCCTGCCAGTTTTTTTCCTTCCTGGCACTAAAAAGCCTCTCCCTCTTGAGTGGCTGTGGCTACCCAGGTTTTCCCATGGCCTGGATGTTTTGTATCTTTTTGTACCCTTTAGATGGTGTGCCTGGCAATTTAAGTTATAGCACAGTCTTTCCTGTACTGAAGAGGTACACATTTCGGGGTGAAAAAGCTTACAAGAAGGGAGTTTGCATTTTCCTGTTGTCATATGGGCACGGCATTTTCTAGGGTGGTCATAGTTGCACGTCCCGTCTGTTTTTTCCAGATTTCCCATGTCTGCAGATACCAAGTGCATAGTATGTGCACAGGCTTGGTTTCCGTTTACCTTGGGTTTCTGTGACTGTATTCCCTGTTGGTGCATGTTTCCCTGTCTTATTCCTATCCTCCCTAGCACCAACAATGGAGCTCCCACCAGTTGTTTTTGGTAATATATCCTCACTATTGCTAGTGGAGTCCTCTTGTTTGCTATTTCCTGTGGTATTTCTAGTTTGCAATATTGGTTTTATCTTATCTTTGACTACACTTGTTTCCCCACTACGGCTCCTGTCCCCTATGAGGTCATTTATATGTATTCCTTCCTGCGTATAATTCCCGACTACCTGGACAAAATCTCCAGCTTCACCATTACTGTCTCCCAGGAGAGCACCTCCAGCTTCACCATTACTGTCTCCCAGGACAGCACCTCCAGCTTCACCATTACTGTCTCCCAGGACAGCACCTCCAGCTTCACCATTACTGTCTCCCAGGACAGCACCTCCAGCTTCACCATTACTGTCTCCCAGGACAGCACCTCCAGCTTCACCATTACTGTCTCCCAGGAAGCACCTCCACTTCACCATTACTGTCTCCCAGGACAGCATATCAGCCCCAATTTACTGACTACCAGGACATCACCTCCAGCCTTACAGTTTCTGACTACATGGCCAGTATCAAGGGCAGTACATCACCAGACTTTTTGTCCATTTGTAGAAGCTCCAGTTTCTATGAAAGCACTTTGATGTTATCCTCTTTATAATACCTTGTGATTTTAGTCCACAGATTTATCTCATTTGGGCATACCAAAAAATTCCTTGTTATTAATACTGCTTGTAGCTAGTTCTTGAGATATTGCAATGATACCATTATAAATATATTAATATATATATAAATTATATTAAAGTAATAATTAATTTATATAATATATATATATAATATATATATTATATATATTTATATATATATATATATATATATATATATATATATATATATATATATATATATATATATATATATATATATATATATATATATATATATATATATATATATATATATATATATATATATATATATATTATATATATATATATATATATATATATATAATATATATATATATATATATATATATATATATATATATATATATATATATATTAATTACGTTAATAGTTCTCATCTGCTTTAGTAAGTTTTACGAATAAGTGATACTGTAGTCACACTGATCCCATGTTGTGCCCAGACCCTCCTGACCACCAGTATCCACCAAGTATTTAATGCATAGTAAATATTCACCACTAATACCATAACACTTACACCATCACTCCCATCTGCTGATAAGTCGTTCACAATACATGACCCACTACAGCACCATCACCACTATGCCCACCATCACCCACCAATCACCCACAACATGACCCACACCACCACCCATCACCCACTACATGACCCACACCCACCACCCACTACATGACCCACACCACCACCATACCCACACCCATCACCCACTACATGACCCACACCACCACCATCACCACTACATGACCCACACACCCACCAACCCTCACACTACATGACCCACACCCCACCACCCATCACCCACTACATGACCACACCCACATCACCATACATGACCCACACCCACACCCACTACATGACCCACACCCACCACCCATCACCCACTACATGACCCACACCCACCACCCATCACCCACTACATGACCCACACACCACAACCCTCACACTACATGACCCACACCCACCACACCATCACCCACTACATGACCCACACCCACACCATCACCATACATGACCCACACCCACCACCCATCACCCACTGTATGACCCACACACCACTACATGACCTACACCATCACCCACTACTGACCCACAACCCACTCCCATCACCCACTGCATGACCCACCCACTCCACCACCCATCACCCACTACATGACCCACACACCCACTACCATCACCCACTGCTGACTCACCACTCACCACCATCACCACTACACGACCCACACACCCACCACCCATCACCCACTACACGACCCCCACACCCACCACCCATCACCCACTACACGACCCACACACCCACCACCCATCACCCACTACATGACCCACACACCCACGATCCATCACTGGCTTCATGACCCAGATACCCACGTTCACTACCCATCACATGCTTTATAACCCAGATACCCACACCAAACACCCGCCACCCACCACCCATCACCTGTTGTTATCAATATGTCACATCAACTTTCAGGATGGTGTGGTCGTCAAGGTCAGCGCCACAGGGGAAAGGTGTGATGACTATATAAACCACACTGACAAGTTATAACTCAGTCTTCAGAGTGTTCCCTCAACAACCATGAAGGTAACACCTCTCACAGCTCCTCTCTAACCAACTCATTACTAATATTAGTAATCAAGTTCGCAAATATTTCATTACTACTGTAATATTCATAGCTATCAAAATGTTGGGATCTAGCCTTTGGACCCATTATGTACCTCTAGTATTTTTTTTAACTGTTGGTAACAAAATGGGTATAAGGTTAATAATATATTGATGAAACTAGTTTAAGGGGCACGTAAGTTCCGCTGTTTTCTAACATATTATTTCCGCCCTATAATTTGCTTTGTCCATAATTACTATCGTATTTGGTTTGTCTGCTTTCGTAAGGTGAACTCTAGGATCTTTCCTTAATTCATGGTAATGACTTAAATCTTTGATGACAATTGTGTTGCAAAAGTGTAAACGAAGCTCAGACCTCTGCAACACAATTATCATCAAAGATTTGTTATGCCATGAATTAAGGAAAGATTCTAGACTTCACCTTACGAAAGCAGACAAACCAAATGCAATAGTAATTATGGACAAGATGGATTATAGGGAAAAAAATAAACATGATGTTAGGAAACAATAAAACTCAGGCGCCTATTAAAGCTCCCTGATCAGCTGTCATGGTAACTCACGTCTTGTACGGGTAGTGACTCGTCATGGTCCAATTCCCCGTGTTTTTGTATCACTCTGAAAATACGTCTATACTGTCGTTGCGATGCTCATTAGCAGAAATATCCTAATGAGAATTTGTGTACATTACTGTAACTATTATAATTATTAATCTCAGTTTGTCTGCTATATGGACTGAAATTTTGTACTGTATCCGTACTTCATTTCTAAATATTCTTTCCTTTCTCTGTCTTACTCACAACAAATAGTTTTGTAATTATCCCCATTTTAGCTATGAATATCAATATTTATGTATTCGATGTTTCATGTAGGTCCTGGTGTGTGCGGTGCTGACCTTGGTGGTCATAACCAACGCTGAGTCAAGGTTTGACCTCGCTGACCAACAGGTGAAGTGATACTTTTATTAATAATTAAAACATACTATATATCATATTTTGATAGTCACTGTGTACCATAAGTAAGCAGCGAAGATGAATTTGAAAATATCAGTGCAAATAAATTTCTTGCATATGGGCTATAAAATAAAAGTTAGTATTTAGGGCAGAGTCAAAAAAATATTTTATTGAATAATATAAATATTGTTGGTTGTAACACTTGGAGACGAGGGTATGAAACCCGGTTAGTAGCAATATGACTCACGAATTACGTATCAGTCAAGTGATCTTGCATACTGGAAAAACCAGACTGTTTCAGGTGGCAATGTTGTTCTTGCAGCCGCTGACGCCCTATGATTTCGGGTACGGTGTGAACGTGGCAGAGACGGGTGACGCTAAGGAACACAAGGAGTCCGTCTCCCTGTCAGGACGGACTGAAGGAGCATACCGCGTCCTCCAACCCAACGGACTCTTCAGGTAAGGGTCGTCTTGAATACAGCTGCGTCCAACTCAATGTACTCTTCAGGGGAGTCCTGAATACGCTAGCTTCAACTTAAGACTCCAGGTCAACAGACCTTTTTAGTTAAGTGTTTTTATAGCTAGTTTCCCTCTAGTTATTTTTTCGTGTCAATCCTGTTAAGTTTGTCTATTTATACAAGAGTCTTCTTATCCACTCCAGCAATATAATGTGATTTTTTTTAACACATCTTTAGATATTAATTTATGATTTATTACATAATTTAGATTTGTAATTGCAGTTCTCCGGCGATGAATACAAATAATATGGTTCGTAGCCACATACTGTAATTTTCAGGTCGTAATCTTGTATTGTAAATTTCGTTTTCACTTGCTCGCCTTTACAGGCATCAATTATTAGAAGAAAAGAACTCTTGGCTGATTTTTTTCCGTTTTTTTTTTAAAGTCTAAATTTCTTTTTATGAGCAAAACGCTACTTCGAACAGCGACCATAGCCACATTAAAAAATGCATTTAGAGTTCAACAAACGTCTTTAATAGTTTTACTTTAGGTACAACAAAGTATATAGTATAAAATGAATGCTGTAATAACTGAATGCCAACTTTTGGAATGTTAATTTTTTCTTTTTACTTAGGGTGGTTCGTTACTCAGTGGACGGCGACTCAGGCTTCAAGGCCACCGTCACCGAGGAGGCCGGAGACCAAGTGACCAACTACCATTCCAAGACCTCTGACACGACAGTCAGCGTTCAGTCCTCCACCACCAGCAGCAGCAGGGGCCAACCAGTCTTTGACAATCAGCACAACCTAAGAAACCAAGGTTTCAGCAGCACACCAAAATTCAGGAGCACGCAAAGAAGTCAGCCAAGCCAAACTCAAAATCTTAAGAGTGTAGGTTTCAGTACCATTCTAGACAGCCAAGTCTTCAGCGACGCGCAGCCTCATAGCAGACAAAACTTCCACAAATTACAGAAATTTCCAGGTCAGACTTTTAAGAGCGCACAAAGGTTGCAAAATCAAGGGTTGAGCAACGCACAGACCCTCCAGAGTCAAAGTCTTAACGAGGCACAGAGCATTCCAGGACAGGGTTTCGGAAGCATACAGAGGTCTCAGAGTCAGTTCTTTAATGACGCACAGGCCCGCGAAGGTCAAAGCTTCAGTGGTTTACATACTGCTCAACACCAAACTTTCAGCACCCCGCAAAAGTCCCAAAACCAAGTCTTCAGCGCCACACAGATCTCTCCCGAGCAGAGTTTCAGGGCCAAGAAAATCTCTCCCAACCAGGCCTTCACCCGAAAACAGGACTTGGAAAGTCCACGAGAGCCTCAATTCAGAGATTTTGTTGAAGGGAGTATAACTGACAATGGAATTATCAATGGAGGTTTCGGAGGAAGCAGCATTCTCAGAAGTGAGCATGCTCTTACCAGGTCGTTCAGCTCAGAACCCAGCAGTGCAGCCTCAGGATCTATCAGATCTGGTTCAGGGTCTATCAGATCTGGTTCAGGATCAGCTGGATTCGGTTCAAGATCTACAAGCACTGGCTCAAGACCTACCGCTTTTGGTGCAGGATCTACCAGTCCTGACTCAAGATCTACCAGCTTCGATGCAAGATTTACCAGCACTGGCTCAAGATCTACCAGTTTCGGTGCAGGATCTACCAGCACTGGCTCAAGACCTACTACTATTGGTGCAGGATCTGCCAGTCCTGACTCAAGATCTACCAGCTTCGGTGCAGGATCTACCAGTCCTGACTCAAGATCTACCAGCAGTGGCTCAAGATCTACCAGTTTCGGTGCAGGATCTACCAGCTTCGGTACAGGATCTGCCAGTCCTGACTCAAGATCTATCAGCTTCGGTGCAGGATCTACCACACTTGACTCAAGATCTACCAGCTTCGGTGCAGGCTCTACCAGCACTGACTCAAGATCTACCAGTTTTAGTGCAGGATCTACCAGCACTGGCTCAAGGCCTACCACTTTTGGTGCAGGATCTACCAGCTTCGGTGCAGGATTTACCAGTCCTGACTCAAGATCTACCAGTTTCGGGGCAGAATCTACAAGCTTCAGTGCAGGATCTGCCAGCTTCGGTGCAGGATCTACCAGTCAAGACTCAAGATCTACCAGCTTCGGTGCAGGATCTACCAGTCAAGACTCAAGATCTACCAGCTTCGATGCAGGATCTACCAGTCCTGGCTCAAGATCTACCAGCTTCGGTGCAGGATCTACCAGTCAAGACTCAAGATCTACCAGCTTCGGTGCAGGATCCACCAGTCCTGACACAAGATCTACCAGTTTCGGTGCAGGATCTACCAGCACTGGCTCAAGATCTACCATCTTCAGTGCAGGATCTACCAGCTTCGATGCAGGATCTACCAGCACTGGCTCACGATCTACCCGCTTCGGTGCAGGATCTACCAGTCCTGACTCAAGATCTACCAGCACTGGCTCAAGATCTACCAGCTTCGGTGCAGGATCTACCAGTCCTGACTCAAGATCTACCAGCTTCGGTGCAGGATCTACCAGTCCTGACTCAAGATCTACCAGCTTCGGTGCAGGATCTACCAGTCCTGACTCAAGATCTACCAGCTTCGGTGCAGGGTCTACCAGTCCTGACTCAAGATCTGCCAGCTTCGGTGCAGGATCTACCAGCACTGGCTCACGATCTACCAGCTTCGGTGCAGGATCTACCAGCACTGGCTCACGATCTACCAGTTTCGGTGCAGGATCTACCAGTCCTGACTCAAGATCTACCAGCACTGGCTCAAGATCTACCAGCTTCGGTGCAGGATCTACCAGTCCCGACTCAAGATCTACCAGCTTCAGTGCAGGATCTGCCAGTCCTGGCTCAAGATCTACCAGCTTCGGTGCAGGATCTATCAGTCCTGACTCAAGATCTACCAGCTTCGGTGCAGGATCTACCAGTTCTGACTCAAGATCTACCAGCTTCGGTGCAGGATCTACCAGTCCTGACTCAAGATCTACCAGCTTCGGTGCAGGTCTACCAGTCCTGACTCAAGATCTCCAGCTTCGGTGCAGGATCTACCAGCACTGGCTCACGATCTACCAGCTTCGGTGCAGGATCTACCAGCACTGGCTCACGATCTACCAGCTTCGGTGCAGGATCTACCAGTCCTGACTCAAGATCTACCAGCACTGGCTCAAGATCTACCAGCTTCGGTGCAGGATCTACCAGTCCCGACTCAAGATCTACCAGCTTCAGTGCAGGATCTGCCAGTCCTGGCTCAAGATCTACCAGCTTCGGTGCAGGATCTACCAGTCCTGACTCAAGATCTACCAGCTTCGGTGCAGGATCTACCAGTTCTGACTCAAGTTCTACCAGCTTCGGTGCAGGGTCTACCAGTCCTGACTCAAGATCTGCCAGCTTCGGTGCAGGATCTACCAGCACTGGCTCAAGATCTACCAGCTTCGGTGCAGGATCTACCAGTACTGACTCAAGACCTACCAGCTTCGGTGCGGGATCTGCCAGTCCTGGCTCAAGATCTACCAGTTTCGGTGCAGGATCTTCCAACTTTGGTACACAACCTTTCAGCTTCAGCTCAAGATCTACCAGCTTCACTTCAGGATCTGCTAGCACCGGCTCACAACCTCCCAGCTTCACTTCTGGATCTGCCAACATCGCTTCTGGATTTACTGGATCCATTGCAAGACCTGCCAGCTTCGGTTCACGACCTGCCAGCTCCAGTTCAGGATCTACCAGCTTTGGTTCAGAATCAAGTAGATTCGGTCAAGGAATCTTTATTTCAAAACCTACCAGTCTCGTCTCAGTCTCTACTAGCTCCGGTTCAGGAATTACCAGATCCAGTGCAGGATCTACCAGTTCCGGTTCAGGACCTACCAGCTTCAGGGCAGGATCTCTTGGCCTCAGTTCAGGACCTACAGTCTTTGGTTCAAAAGCTAGCCATTTCGCTTCAGCAACTTCCGATATCGATTCAGGGTCGACCAGCTCTCATTCAGGATCCCCTGGATTTGGTTCACAAGCATCCGCCTTCGGTTCAGGACCTCAAGTTTCCGGTTCACGATCTGCTAGCTTCAGTTCTGGAGCTACCAACTTCGGTCCAGGATCCACGGGCTCCGGTTCACGATCCGCTAGCTTCAGTTCTGGATCTACCAGCTTTGGTTCACGACCCACCATCAGTGGTTTAGGACTGACTGGCTCTGGTCCAGGTACTACTCCCGATAGGTCAGTAGCTTCCAGGTCTGGATCACAACCCACTGGCTTCAGTGCAACAGCAGGTAGCCTTCCTTCAGGACATGGCACCGTTGGTTCCGGACAAAGCAGCTTCGTATCAGGACAAAGCAAATTTGGCTCAGAACAAAGCTCTGGTTCAGGAGAAAGCAGGTTTGGTGCAGGACAAGGCAGCTTCGGTGCAGGACAAGGCAGCTTCGGTACAGGACAGGGTAGCTTTGGTGCAGGACAAAGCAGCTTCGGTGCAGGACAAGGCAGCTTCAGTGCAGGACAAGGCAGCTTCGGTGCAGGACAGGGCAGCTTTGGTACAGGACAGGGTAGCTTTGGTGCAGGACAAAGCAGCTTCGGTGCAGCACAAGGCAGCTTCAGTGCAGGACAAAGCAGCTTCGGTGCAGGACAAGGCAGCTTCAGTGCAGGACAAGGCAGCTTCGGCACAGGACAAGACAGCTTCGGCGCAGGACAAGGCAGCTTCGGTGCAGGACAGAGCAGCATCGGTACAGGACAGGGTAGCTTTGGTGCAGGGCAAAGCAGCTTCGGTGCAGGACAAGGCATCTTCGGTGCAGAACAAAGCAGCTTTGGTGCAGGACAGGCTAACTTCGGTGCAGGACAAGGCAGCTTAGCCACAAGACAAGGCAGCTTCGGTACAGGACAGGGTAGCTTCGGTGCAGGACAAAGCAGATTTAATTCACATTCAGGCAGCTTCAGTTCAAGACCAGGCAGCTTGGGCTCAGGATTTAACGGGTTCAGTACCACCACCCTGAAGCAGGCGGCCACTAGACCTGGTAACGTAGCAGGGATTCTCACCCCGGGTGGACCGTCTCGATTCAGGGGCTGAGGACTCCTGGTAACCTAGCAGTGATCCTCAGTTCCTCACCCCAGATGGACCGTCCAAACCCAGGGGCAAAGGACTCGAGCAGTGACTTCATTTTTTCCCTCAAAAATAATGCCAACAGATGAATTTATCACTTCTAGTGAATGGTAAATCAGGTTTAAGTATTTGAAGATAAAACCGTTTTTCATAGACCTAAGATGTTTGTTAATAAATCCTAATTGATAGTATTTATTTAATTTGTTGATATGATGAAGTATTATTAAAATACAATGGACAACGCATTACACTAATTTATTGTATGATTCATCCCAACTTATGAACATATTATTAAGATTTATATCCACAAGGACAAGTAATCAGGTTCGATCTAAGATGAATAGTAATACAAATATAACTAAGCGCTATACCTGAAAAGGTCTAACTGCACCTGCAAAGACAGTGATTATGTATGTGTCATGGTGAAAGTGTTGACTGACAGTGAAAGTTTCCTTTCTTTCTTTTTGCATTTTTCTTTCTTTTGGGTCACCCTGCCTTGGTGGGAGGCGGCTGGCATGTCGAAAAAATATATAGTGTACATACAGCGGAACCTCTGTTTTTGTTTGCCCTGGGTTTCGTCGAATTCAGTTTTCGACAACTTTTTTCGTCAAAATGTTGTCCCAGTTTTTGTTCATCACCTCGGTTTTCATCCGCTATACCGAACATGTCCATCTTCCTGTATCCACACAAAGCATCCCACACACACATTCTGAGTCAGTCTGACTGTTTCTCATCAAATGAACATTACCTTGCTCATTCATACGAAAAATTTCATAATAATCCACTGTTTTTTGTGCTTGTTTATTGAGTGCGACTGCTAAATAAGCCAACATGGGGCCAAAGAAAGTTCTGATAAAGAAGGCGAGAAACATGATAGAATTCAATGATGGTAGAGGGTGGTAGTGATGGTGGTAGAGGGTGGTAGTGGTGGTGGTAGAGGGTGGTAGTGGTGGTAGCAGAGAAAACCTCTCCTCGCCGTCTTCCATAAGCCAGCAATAGTCTTCAGTAAAGGTAAATGTGATTTAAATGTTCATTTATCTATTTCATTAGTGCTTTATATTTATTTCTCATTGCTTTCTGTATGTAAAACTATAATTATTCTCTAAAATTTAGTTTTGTTAATATTTTTGGGTGTCTGGAAGAGATTTATTGGATTTACATTATTTCTTATGGGATATATGTATTGCTTCAGTTTTCGTCGAATTTGGTTTTCTGGAACGAATTAAAGACGAAAACCGAGGTTCCACTGTACGTATATATATATATATATATATATATATTATATATATATATATATTATATAGACACTTTTTATATCTTGTGAGAATAATATATCAGTTTGCTGTGTCTGAGCATACATATATATACGTATGTAAAAACTAATAAACAGATCTTTCACTTAGACAACACTGTCAATAAAATAATCTATTAAAGAAATATCTTAAGAATTCACTGATTTTTTTTTTTTTTTTTTTTTTTTTTCAACAAGTCGGCCGTCTCCCACCGAGGCAGGGTGACCCCAAAAAAAGAAAGAAAATCCCCAAAAAGAAAATACTTTCATCATCATTCAACACTTTCACCACACTCGCACATTATCACTGTTTTTGCAGAGGTGCTCAGAATACAACAGTCTAGAAGCATACACATATAAAGATACACAAACTTATCCCTCCAAACTGCCAATACCCCAAAAACCCCTCCTTTAAAGTGCAGGCATTGTACTTCCCTTTTTCCGGGGACTCAAGTCCGACTATATGAAAAATAAACCCGGGTTTCCTGAATCCCTTCACTAAATATTACCCTGCTCACACTCCAACAGATCGTCAGGTCCCAAGTACCCTTCGTTTTCCCTTCATCCTATCTAACACGCTCACGACGCTTGCTGGAAGTCCAAGCCCCTTCCCCACAAAACCTCCTTTACCCCCTCTCTCCAACCCTTTCGAGGACGACCCCTACCCCGCCTTCCTTCCCTATAGATTTATATGCTTTCCATGTAATTCTACTTTGTTCCATTCTCTCTAAATGACCAAACCACCTCAACAACCCCTCTTCTGCCTCTGACAAAATTACTTTTATTAACTCCACACCTTCTCCTAATTTCCACACCCCGAATTTTTCTGCATAATATTTACACCACACATTGCCCTTAAACAGGACATCTCCCTGCCCCCAAAACCGTCTCCTCGCTGCTGCATTTACCACCCAAGCTTCACACCCCATATAAGAGTGTTGGTACAAATATACTTTCATACTTTCCCCTTCTTTGCCTCCATAGATAACATTTTTTGACTCCACATATACCCCCAACGCACCACTCACCTTTTTTCCTCATCAATTCTATGATTAAACTATCCTTCATAAATCCATCGCCGACACGTCAACTCCCAAGTATCTGAAAACATTCACTTCTTCCATACTCCTCCTCCCCAATTTGATATCCAATTTTTCTTTATCTAAATCATTTGACACCCTCATCACCTTCTTTTTTCTATGTTCACTTTCAACTTTCTACCTTTACACACACCCCCAAACTCATCCACTAACCTTTGAAATTTTTTTCTTTAGAATCCCCCATAAGCACAGTATCATCAGCAAAAAGAAAACTGTGTCAATTCCCATTTGAATTTGATTCCCATAATTTAATCCCACCCCTCTCCCAAACACCCTAGCATTTATTTCCCTTAACAACCCCATCTATAAATATATTAAAAAACCCATGGTGACATTAAAACATCCCTGTCTAAGACCTATTTTACCGGAAATAGTCTCCCTCTCTTCTACAAACCCCCAACTGAGCCTCACTATCTTCATAAAAACTCTTTACAGCATTTAATAAACTTACCCTATTCCATATACTTTTCACATCTGCCCATTGCTCCTCTATCCATCTATCATTGCCTTTTCTAAAACCATAAATGCAATAAAAAAATTCCCTACCTTTATCTAAATACTGTTCACATATATGCTTCAATGTAAAAAAACTTGATCTACACATCCCCTACCCACTCTGAAACCTCCTTGCTCATCCGCAATCCTACATTCTGTCTTACCTCTAATTCTTTCAATTATAACCCTACCGTTTCACTTTTCCTGGTATATCAGTAAGCTTATTCCCCTATAATTTTTACAATCTCTTTTGTCCCTTTCCCCTTTTTATAAAGGGACTATACATTGCTCTCCCCCAAACCCTAGGTACCTTCCCCTCTTTCATACATTTATTGACAAAAGTACCAACCCCTCCAACACTATATCCCCCCTGCTTTTAACATTTCTGTCATGATCCCCTCATACCAGCTGCTTTACCCCCTTTCATTTTACGTAATGCCTCACGTACCTCCCCCACACTTACAATTTGCTCTTCTTCACTCCTAAAAGATGGTATACCTCCCTGACCAGTGCCCTGAAATTACTGCCTCTGTTTCTTCCTTAACATTTAAAAGTTTCCTCAAAAATATTCCGCCATCTAACCTAATACCTCCATCTCCCCATTACTAACTCCCCACTCTGTTTTTAACTGACAAATCCATTATTTTCCCTTGGCTTTCTTAACTTGTTTAACTCACCCCAAAAAATTTTTTCTTATTTTCATTAAAATTTTTTGGGACAGTGCCTATCCCACTCTATCATCTGCTCTCCTTTTGCACTCTCTCACCACTCTCTTTACCTTTCTTTTACTCTCCATATATTCTGCTCTTCTTTAAACACTTCTGCTTTGTAAAAACCTCTCATAAGCTACCTTTTTCTCTTTTATCACACCCTTTACTTCTTTCATTCCACCAATCACTCCTCTTTCCCCCTGCACCCACCCTCAAAAACCACAAATTCTGCCCCACATTCTAATACTGCATTTTTAAAACTTTCCAACCCTCTTCAACCCCCCCATTACCCCTCTTTGCACTATCCCACCTTTCTCCCAATAGTGTTATATCTCACCCGAACTTCCTCCTCCCTTAGTTTATTACACTTTCACCTCCTCTTACTTGTTGTTCCCACCTTCCTCTTTTCCCATCTACCTCTTACTCTAACTGTAGCTACAACTAAATAATGATCCGATATATCAGTTGCCCTCTATAAACATGTACATCCTGGAGCCTACCCATCAACCTTTTATCCACCAATACATAATCTAATAAACTACTTTCATTACGTGCTACATCATACCTTGTATATTTATTTATCCTCTTTTTCATAAAATATGTATTACTTATTACCAAATTTCTTTTACACATAGCTCAATTTAAAGGCTCCCATTTACATTTACCCCTGGCACCCCAAATTTACCTACTACTCCTCCATAACATTTTTACCCATTTAGCATTGAAATCCCCAACCACCATTACTCTCACACTTGATTTCAAAACTCCCCACGCATTCACTCAACTTTTCCCCAAAAAATCTCTCTCTCTCCTCTACACTTCTCTCTTCTCCAGGTGCATACACGCTTATTATAACCCCAAACTTTTCACATCCAATCTTTATTTTACCCCACATAATCCTTGAATTAATACATTTATAGTCCCTCTTTCCTGCCATAGCTTATCCTTCAACATTATTGCTACTCCTTCTTTAGCTCTAACTCTATTTGAAACCCCCGACCTAATCCCATTTATTCCTCTCCACTGAAACTCTCCCACCCCTTTAGCTTTGTTTCACTTAAAGCCAGGACATCCAGCTTCTTCTCATTCAAACATCCACAATCATCTCTTTCTTACATCTGACAACATCCACGCACATTCAGATTCCACTTTGACAATTTTTTTTTTCTTATTCTTTTTAGTAATCTTTACAGGAAAAGGGGTTACTAGGGCCCCTTGTTCCCGGCATTTTAGTTGACTTTTACAACACGCATGGCTTACGGAGGAAAGATTCTTATTCCACTTCCCCATGGATATAAAAGGAAAATTAATAAGACCAAGAACTATTAAGATAAAATCAAAGAAAACTCAGATGAGTGTGTATGAATAAATGTGTATATGTATGTGTAGTGTGACCTAAGTGTAAGTAGAAGTAGCAAGACATGCCTGTAATCTTGCATATTTATGAGACAGACAAAAGACATCAGCAATCCTACCATCATGTAAAACAATCACAGGCTTTCGTTTTACACTCACTGATATACTATTTAATTAAAATGGTAAAAATAATTCAATTTTGAACTTAATAGTTAGACAACTTGCCTTGCTAAATTTAACATAATTTAGTAATCCTAGTTGTAAGAAATAACATGGGTGAATTTCACAGGTACAATCCTGAATTAACATTTCACACAAATAACTGGGGAGAACTCTGGCACAGATATAACAGATTAGCGGAAATGACAGGGCAACAAAAACTATCGTCGTCATAACTTTACCGGATGCCAAAACTCTGTCACTGAGATGTCTGAGTGTGTTTACAAGGTATCAAGGTGTTGCATAGTGTGTGTGTGTGTGCTTACACACACACTATCCAAGTACAGTAAGTGTAATCACTTACTGTACTTGGGAGACAGGTGGGACTTTAGCAACTGGGTCACATCACTGTCCCTCCTTCGACAGGGTCGGGAGCCAAGACCCTGTCAAACAAATAGGCAAGACGAACGGGCAGAGGGACCAGAAGCTGTGAATCGACCCTTGCAACCAAATGAGGGCGAGTATACCCTTAGGGTTATCAGGAAATGGAACAATCTGGAGAGTGAAGTAGCAGAGGCAGGATCCATACATAGATTCAAGAAGAGATACAATAATGTTCTTGGAACTGGAAGTAGACCTAGTAGCGACCAGCAAAGAGGCGGGGCCAGGAGCTGTGACTCGACCCTTGCAACCATATATAGTTGATTACACACAGTCACACCTCTATCTGTAATGTTTGCCTTTTTGTAGTCCCTCAGGATCCCAATGTAACCAGAACATTTATGTGCCTTGCTATACAAACTACTGTATTTCAATTCTGAAATCAAAATGCTATTATTTTTAAGTTCTCATATTTTGTTGAATATTTATTTTTCAAAAATCCATTTACATGACATGCTCCAGCAGGCCAGCAGCAGTCATGCAATCATCATACGTCAAGCTGTAATGTTAAAATTCAGTTTCCAACAGTGTGATTGGGGGAGGATGGGGGGCCCCCCCTCCCCTATATGTTGCTCTTCCTGGGGGCCCTTCCCTGAATGTTATTATACTTGGAAGGCCCCCCTCTCATAAATGTTGCTCTCCTTTGGGGGCCCTCTCCTAAATGTTGTTTCACTTAGGGCCCCTGGAACTCTAAATCACTACTGTTCACCCCATAACAGTTAGCATGTCCAGTGAGTGTTGCAACAAGAAGGCTGGAGGCAGTGTTGTATCTGAGGCCAATGTGCAGTGTGAATATAATGCAGAGAATCCGTAGCTTGGAGATTAGACAGAGGTGCAGGGTTTCTAAAAGAATTATCCAGAAAGCAGAGGAAGAGTTGTTGAGGTGGTTTGGACATTTCTGAGAGGATGGAATAAAATAAAATGACTTGGAGGTCCTATAAATCTGTAGTGGAAGGAAGGTGGGATAAGGGTCATCTTAGGAAAGGTTTGGAGGGAGGGGGGTAAAAAAGGGTTGTGTGTGCAAGGGGCTTGAATTTCAGCAAGCATACATGAGCATGTTTGATAATTGTTGAAACAAGTGGTTTTTGAGACTTGACATACTGTTGGAGTGGAGGCAAAGTAAATTTATGAAGGGATTAGGGAAACCGGTTAGTTAAACTTAAGTCCTGGAAGTGGAAGTAAAGTGCCTGAACTCTGAAGGAGGGGTGTTGATATATTGCAGTTTTCAACTGTGGTGTGGCACACCTCTGGCAAGAAACGATGGAGTGAATGATAATGAAAGTGCTTTTTTTTCGGGTCCCCTTTTACCTTGGTGGGAAATGGCTGGTGTTAATAAAATAAATAAATTGACAAACCATTAGCTATCTGTTCCTTGTAAAGTTGATTAATTTAGCTAGATTAATTTTAATATGAAAAAATGGAACTCATTTAACAATAAGAGTTGTAGATGTGCAAGCACACTGGTAGACAGTCATTGATCATGGGCCATTTACTTTACTGAAGGGAAAGTGCTAATCCTGTAGTAGTCACATAGCACCTTGGGAATGGGAGTCATTCAGATTCAATCCAAGGAAGGGGAGGACAAGTCCCATTCCCTGGATCAAAAGTTCCTCACTGGCATCAAGGCACAGCCAGCCCCCCCCCCCCCACACACACACACATGGATCAACCCTCTTCCTTGCCTAGCTGCACATTAAGCCACTGGTGTACCATTCATTCTGAAAACCTCTTGTTTATTGGTGCACCAACCTATTGCTGCCTTTTATTTTTTAATCCTCCGGTATTGCATTGATACTTTTATGTACTTTACTAGTAAAGGGTTAAAAATACAAAGATGAGCTAATCTTAAATTTTATTCTTCAAAGACTAAGAAATAACTGATGCTAGGAATTTTTCAATACATTATTATTATTTCCCCTTTAGCTTTCTTTATTACTTCTTTGCCTAGAGCTTTCCTCTTTACTCTCTCACATGCAAATTTTCTTGGTTAGAAGGTAATCTGCCAACACCAGCCATTATTACTGCAGTTACAAGAAAGTCCTCAACTCCCCCCCCCACACACACATTATTTAATCTGGAGGCTGGATTGGCATCATGAGTACAGAGCTTTATATACAGCAGTTTCAATCTGTATTTATGAGCTGTATGCTGGTGGTGCAGTAAGTAAAGGAAGAAGTGTTTATATACATATATCACAAATCACGTTTAAAAAAATTTATCCAGGAAACACACGAGTCAGAACTAGACAGTGACAAATTTAGCAAAAACAATTCAACATTAATAAAATATATGAGTACACTACTCATGCATCAAATGATTAAACAAAATACTCTTCATAAACCAAGAAAATAAAGAAAGATTAAATTTTGCATATCTTCCTAAAATGAACAAAAGCAATTTAACAAAACAGGGAATTTGATAACTGAAAAAAAAACTCATACACTATGATCATAACTTTGCTTAGATGTACGTATCATAAAAATATTTGCAGTGTATAGAAGTGTTTTGGTTTACCAGCCAGAAAGTTAAAACAAATTTACATCATAACTATAAAATTGTAAACATGAACAAACGTGAAAGTAATTTATGTATTACTAAATTTGACATGGCTGCCACAAAAGCAAAACTTAACACATTGCAATTTACCCTCGATATTAATGTTTAGTATCAAAACTAGATTATTAGTGTGGTTATAAGAAAGTGCAAAATCTGTATGGGTCATACAGTGCTAAATATCAAGAAAAATGTGCATGAGGGAAAAGGTATCTGCAAAAGGATAAGTTGGTATAATAAACCAGTTTCATTCAAGAAATAATTAATGAGAATTTGCACTGAATATGAGACTGACAAAAGCAGCATATAAGCATCCGGGTGCTGAGAAAAAGGACAGAAATGAACTCTGCAGTAACAGTCAAATATACCTGACAAGTCTTTCAGAGAGGTGCTGGTCATATCTACATAAAATGCCCATGAGTCAAGTGCAATTGATATGTAGGCATGCAAGGATTGTTTCCCCAAAACCAACAGTGATGGAAAGAAGTTGACTAGAAACAGTCACAGTTTGATTAAAAGCAGCTTGCTTGTCACTAACACACAACAATGATACTGCTAACAATCATGAATGGACCAAGACAGGACAGGTAAATGATCAGAAAATGGGGAAAATACATAATGAAGATAATTTGGTGAACCAAAGAAGAAGCAGGGGACTTATGTTCATTATACTGAATACTGAATTAAAATACCCAGGGGGGGGGGGGAATTGTTTGCTGAGGAGGTGATGGCCACTCTTCAATGAAAACAAGATGCAAAGGATTAAATCAAGTCCACCAAAATGCCTGTAATACACCAAGTCTGAGATTACAATAAAGGAAGAGGCAGACAGAGAAGCTCTGTCTGGTAACTGCCTGGATCACACACATGCATGAGTGCTAATGAAAATGCACAAGAAAGTCCACATGACCATGGAAGAGATGAGAGGGAAAAAACAAGGTGGAAGATTTGAAGAGTACTTTGACCTGAGATATCTCTCAGTGCCTTTGGCAATAAAAATATATATAAAACATACAAAGGAAAACCCAGAGTAAAACTAAGAAACAATAACAAAAACTGCAAGTACAAACAAAACACAAGGCAAGATGACAAACTTGGGAGATTGGTGGGAAGACAGAGAGAGAGACAAAGTTAAGGTGAACTATTTACTCAAAAAAGAAGAACACAGGAGAGGGAGAATAATACAAAATATTTTGAGCACTTTTAAAATACTGTATTGCTTCGATACTTAAAATATTCACTGAGAAAATATGAGCAACTTCTTTTTGGTTGACATGCTCTATGTTAGCACTTCCACCAACATAACAGTATAACTATTATGAGACAAAACACAAGTTCACACATAGGCGGGATCTCAGCATTGAACTACTAAAATTATATGGGTATGTGCAATGACTGAATAAAGAAGTACTACATACATTGTAAATGCAATGGAGGTACACAGAATGAGGACATTTGTAGTTTTACAAGGAGCCAAGAAAGATTACAAAAAAAAAAAAAAAAAAATTCCATGAGCATAAAAAAAAAAGCCTCAACTCCTATACTGTATATATAAATCAGGCCAAAAAAAAAAAAAAAGGTATCAATAATAATAATGTTACAGGGTGGTTGATGTGACCATATATCACCCTACTGGTAAATAATGAAATTTATAAATGATTAAACTTTGCTGGAACTGTATTACTTTAGTCCAGTAACAATACTAATGTAACAAATGACCATTTGGCTTGCATGATAGAGTTCTTGAAGCTTCCAAAATTTCTTTGTATACGACTGAGGAATGATCTTCCTTGCCATTCAAAAATATTAAATCTGGGACATGTTCTTTCACATACTTTAAGTGCAATTCATGCATAGGCCAAACACACTGTTCAAAGTAACCCAGGGGATCTGGAGGATCATAAATACGACAACTTCTCCTTTGCCAACACTGCTCACGGCTCAGTTTGAGGAAGTAACGAAGGTCACACATTTCTGCCAGTTTGCTATGACCAAAAAGTAGAAATCCTTCTAAAAGCAAAATTGGTAGACTTCCAACAGAGCCATTTAAGCATGAAGAGAGAGAGACTGTAACACTTGTAGAAACTGGGTCTTTGACAGGTAATTCTGGTATGGAATTTATTGTCTCTGTGATATCCTTAATCATCTTGTTCATATCCAAGCTTGAAAGGACTTCCCAGTTGTGATTATTCAAGCCTCCTGGAGAGGGAATATGATGAGCCGAGTCTACAGGGTAGAAATAGTCATCCTGGCAGATAAGTCTTGTTGTTTCAGGAAGAATCTCCAATAACTTCTTGGCTAAAGTTGATTTTCCACTATTTGTAGCACCTGAGATTCCAACGATAAGCCAGCGTGACATAATCAGTTTTAATAAGTGTAAAGGGTAATTAATTGTGACTACACGGGGTGTTGGTAAATGAACAAATTTGCCTTTCTGGTAGCTGTTTTTGTTATAAGATGTATGACATGGAGGACAACATTTTCTTTAAACAAATGCACACAATGTTAGGACTGCTGTTCGTAAAATAAGTACTAAGTGACAAATTCGAACACCATGCACATAAAAACTTACATCTCTTGGCAATAACTAATCCAATTAGTCCCTCTCAATCCTGTGAGCTTTATACAGAGCCCCAACAATGTATACTCCTGTAAGTGTTAGAAGAAACACAAGAATAATAGCAGGGACAATGATAGCAATGAGAGGATCAGGAAAAAAGGATCTCAAGGAACTATCTTCATCCACAAAACGTAATCCAACAATCCACACAAGGTAGTAAGACACAACAACTGCTGTCACTCCAAGCACACACTCACCTATCACTTTGTCATGCCCAAACATTAATGGTTCGGTCTAAATAAGCCACCCTCAAAAAAATAAAATCTCAAGTCTGACATTTTCTGCGAGCAGTTATGCAAATCTCCCAGTTTTTACTTCACTAACTTCTGCAATCACACATTTAGGGCATTTTTAATATCCACAGTATGGGAACTTTTGTCTCCTTATCCATCAATCGTGCCAACCCTGAAAATCAAGTGTGAGAACGGGAATTAACACAGGCATAAATCATAAAGCAAAGAATAACAAGTGATAACATAAGAAAGAGATATCTAGTAATCACAAAGGCATACATTGGTGATGGCACAAGGTTGTAGAGATCATATTCAGAGCCATACAGAAAGTGCCACAATGTTACTATCACAAGGGAACTCACAAATACAAACAAAACAATTCTACCTGTTAGCCTCTCGTTTAAAGCCATTCTAATTGGTTTAATGTGGTGATGGGGTAAAAAAAATTTATATAAAGCAAATGCAAGCAGTTTTAGAATAGTCAAATAAACACACTCCACAAATGCACTTTAGTCACACTTTACCAGTTTAAATGAGCAAGATGACTGCTTGTTAGTGATCAGCTAATAATTTTTCTGTCCACCAGAAGAGCTGTATTTATGGATATACTGCATATCAGTATCAACAAAATATTCCTAAGATTCTTTAATACTGTAAAGCCATATTCAACCTCTGATAAGTAAATAAATTTTGCCTAACACAAAAATTGATAACATGCAGTCAATCATTACACAGTAACATACAAGACAATACTTCCCTTTGCAATACACACACAAAGACATCTACACCAATAAGAACTGCAGCTGGAAATTTTAATAATTAAAAAACAAGTACTAGACTATGTAACACTATATGCAGCTGAAACAGATAATTTACAGTTCATTTACAAGTAGGTAATTTATATTTTGTCTGTAGATTTCATTAGAATTTCTGTTTCAAGTATTTAAATAATGTTAAATGAATTAATTAATACATGCAAATAGTTTGGAAGTAAATACCTTTAATTACAGCTCTACTAAATTCTTTGTCAATGAACTGCATGCAACACCATAACTGCACAAATATCTACAATCATACAAACTACCAGTATATATACAAATACAATACTATGGAATGAATTTCAGTACCAGGATTTTCAGGGTATACCATTTGTGCCCATGCAATGCGTCTAGGTAACAAAAACACCTTACGAACATTTTCAAGCACTGGATCAGCAAATTTGTTGATTCTATTGGAGCATGAAGTCAAAATTTAGTAGAGACGCAGCCACTCTTTGTTCATCTTCTCAAAATCTTCATCAGTGAATACAGATGTTTCTTCCATATCACGTTTTTTGCCTTTCTTCTGATGGTCAAAATCTCGAACACCACCTTTTCTCTCCAGCTCCTTAGCGTGATGATTTACAACCTGGAAATGGTTTATGCAAATCTGAACAGCTAGAAGGCTACTTACTAATTTATATTGTTTGCTACAACTCTGTTTTATTATGGGATCTACCTATATCATATTTTATTATGGGATCTACCTATATCATGTTTTATTATGGGATCTACCTATATCATGTTTTATTACAGGATCTACCTATATCATGAACATATTCACCTGAAAGAGCCAGGAGACCCATGCAGGACTTTGTGAACAAACAACTGATATTTATTTTCACCCTAATAGATACAAAGTGATATTTAGTTCATAGGGATTGTAATGCTATACAAGTCCATCTGGATGGGCCAAGCAGATACATTTAATAATCCCTTATATTAAACTTAAATACTACACCTGATAACAACTTGTAAAGATAGTTCTGAGTAGTCTCAGTATCCTATTTAACCCTAAGAGAAAAACAGACTGAATATAAGCATAGGGCTTAACACTATGCTGCTTATCCGAATGTACTGTGAAAGCACTGACAACAAAGTGCCACAGAAAATTACCAATTCCCTAGATTAAAAAATAATCTAATGCTTCTAGAAAACAACAAAAATCTCATTCAAATCACATGGAAAGATGCCTTAAAGGGTTAAGGGATTGAATTCTTTTACTGTACAACATATTAAGGCAATACACTATTACCTGTTCAATGTATTGGTTGGGTGCTTTCTTTCTGTCAATCTTTTTCAATAGCTTAATATTATCATTTGTGCAATCAATTTTTGCATATTTCTCATACTCAGCAATGGCATTTGTGACCTGTGAATAATAATAAATGACATTAGTATATTTAACTTTTGTATTTGGAAAAATAAGTGAAAAAATACATACATCACTAGTTTTAAATTACAATAGTACATATGCAAGATCAATCTCAACCATACTTAATACAGTATTCTTTTTATCTTAGGGTATAGTATGTTTTAACCTTTTTAGAATGAATTAAGAAAAGGAAGTGCTTGGGTAAAATAACATGTGGAATGATGCAGGATAGCAGTCTATCCTCATGATTATGACTCTCAGATGAAAAAGACTAAATATTTTTCTATAGAAATTTCAATACAGTAAATTTAAATAAGCTCATTCAAGATCCTCCTGTTCAAGTCGTGCAAAGCTTAGACTTCTTGCATCTGAAATAAATATAAAGCTAAACATCAAAGATGAAAAACTCAAGTTACTACACTGTAAGTGTAACAATATGAAGCAGGAGGAAGTGTAAGGGAATTAAACTATTCTGACAACATCATTTTACAACCATGTGGAAGGTTGTCATTTTCCCAAAAAAAAATCACTCCCTCCTTACACTAGAGATAAGATTGGTACAAACTAAAACTAATGACACTTCCAATGTGACCTCAATACAAGATAAATTGTCTATAATGACAACAAAAACAAACATATTTCTTTGCAATAATTATGTAAAGCAAAGCCAGAAGCAAAGAATAATTTCTGCAATGAAAAACAGAATCTTGACTCCAGAAAATTAGTAGCAAATACACCTTTAAGATACAATGAGCAAAATTAATTATTATAGCTGTCATAATGTCCCTACATTATAGAGCGAAGAATATGATGCAAAAAAAATGGGTGTACTGAAAATCTGAAGACAAGCAGTTAAGTCAGAGTAAACTCTAAATGTCACAGATAAACAGTGGGCAAAGAATGGCTGGTATTAGTAATTTTGATGGATAGAGATCAGATTATTTTCTTGTGATCATAAGATAAGATAAGATATAAGATTTCGTTCGGATTTTTAACCCCGGAGGGTTAACCACCCAGGATAACCCAAGAAAGTCAGTGCGTCATCAAGGACTGTAACTTATTTCCATTGGGGTCCTTAATCTTGTCCCCCAGGATGCGACCCACACCAGTCGACTAACACCCAGGTACCTATTTGCTGCTAGGTGAACAGGACAATAGGTGTAAGGAAACGTGTCGGAATTTCCACCCGCCGGGAATTGAACCCGGGCCTTCCATGTGTGAAGCGGGAGTTTTAGCCACTAGACCACCGGGCCACACACTGTCCATTCTTTCTGAATCAAATGATGGAGAAGAGTTTGTTCTGTATTTCTGAAGTCTGTGAAATTGAGATCTACCAAATAAGGGTTTACTGTATTGAACTGACATTTGCCCAGTTTCTCTGAAAGCATTTTATTTCATTTTATTTCTCTGAAAGCTTTTATTTCTTATCTAATCAATATTTTTGAAACTTTAATTTTTTTTTTTCAACAAACCGGCCGTATCCCACCAAGGCAGGGTGGCCCAAAAAGATAAACGAAAGATTCTCTTTTTAAATTTAGTAATTTATATGGGAGAAGGGGTTACTAGCCCCTTGCTCCCAGCATTTTAGTCGCCTCTTACAACACGCATGGCTTACGGAGGAAGAATTCTGTTCCACTTCCCCATGGAGATAAGAGGAAATAAACAAGAACAAGAACTAGAAAGAAAATAGAAGAAAACCCAGAGGGGTGTGTATATACATGCTTGTACATGGCAGTTTGGAGGGATATGTTGTGTATCTTTATATGTATATGCTTCTAAACTGTTGTATTCTGAGCACCTCTGCAAAAACAGTGATAATGTGTGAGTGTGGTGAAAGTGTTGAATGATGATGAAAGTATTTTCTTTTTGGGGATTTTCTTTCTTTTTTGGGTCACCCTGCCTCGGTGGGAGACGGCCGACTTGTTGGAAAAAAAAAAATAGAAGAATACCTAGAGGGGTGTGTATATATATGCTTGTACATGTATGTGTAGTGTGACCTAAGTGTAAGTAGAAGTAGCAAGACGTACCTGAAATCTTGCATGTTTATGAGAGAGAAAAAAAGGACACCAGCAATCCTACCATCATGTAAAACAATTACAGGCTTTCGTTTTACACTCACTTGGCAGGACGGTAGTACCTCCCTGGGCGGTTGCTGTCTACCAACCTACTACCTAACTTTTTTAATTGTCTTTTTTAAATGTCATTTATGCAGCAAAATTTGACAAATAAAATGGCATCATAATCTCATATTCACATATTGCACAACATTTCACAAAATTAGCACTAAATGCACCCACTAAGAAAGATCACTACTAGAAAGGGCCTCACAGAATCCTTACTAATGATCAGAGAGAATAATACAAAAAAGAACAGGACTTTTGAAAACTTCTCATTGTGTATATTGTGTATTCAGTTTTTTTTTTAACAGTTGAAATGATAATGGCAAAGCAGATGAGCCAATAAAAGTGCAATCTATAAGGAACATTATCTTCACACTCAAATGGGCAAACTATCTTATCTTGTTCATATGCTTTCTTAATGTTTAAGAATGCTTTATGAACCAATTTTGTCTTGATTATGGAATGTAGTAGATGCAACATTTAAGAAGCACCCTGACCATGATGATGAAGCGTAGAATAAAACAAAATCGATAGACAGAGGAGTTATAAAGGCTGGAACTGGAGAGGTCAAATTAAAAGATTTTATTTAAATGACTAATTAGGAGGGTTCATAACCTAGGGTAACCTAGTACGTAAAGACTTATGTCCATCTTATTTCTACTGGGACCTTTTGACCCACTTCCCAAGGATGCAATCCACAACAGTGGGTGTAGGAAAACATACCTGTTTTTACCAGTGTTCGAGTCAGAGACAGCAAGAGAAACCAAAATGAAAACCAATTTGAGAAAGACTGACAGAAGCTTTGCAAAATAATATTAATAGCAGAATAAAGGAATGTTAACCATATTTTAATTAGGATGAGATGAGATAAATATATACTGTACCTGTTTCTGAATAAGTTGTGCTTTAACTTCTCTCCTCCTTGCCTGAGCCTTCTGCTTCTGCTTGGCCGCTTTTTTGATTCCGTGACGGTTAGTGCTGACATTCATTGGCTTGGCACTGCCATCAGCCTTCCAACTACTATTTTCTGTGAAAATAAGAGAATGGGGAATAATTAATAAAAACATATTCACTGAGCCTTAAGTAATTAAAAATAAAATTCAAACAGAATATATTGTATAATGGAGTTTTCAATAATTTGGCAAACAAACATTTTATTTTCAAAATACTGTATACATAATCATTACAAAATTAGGTGACATTTATTTCATAAATTTTGTAAATTCCTTTGTTACACAGAGCATTCTGGGCACACTAAAATTATAATTTATAACAACAGTATTTGACATTATATAACTAAAGTTTGATTATCTGAATGCCAAGATTAATATAATTGTCTGAATATGAAATTATTACAGGTAATAATAATTTTAAGTGATGAAACTATGCATTTTTGTGTCTTTAAGCCTCAATGATTTTGTCCCAAAGCAGTCTCCCTTAATTGCTAAATTCAGGGGGTCAGTATAACACATTGAAAATCCTTTTCTTTTCCTTCTAGAATTTCCTTTATTTTTATTATGATAATTACTATTATCATGGGGAAGCACTAAAATTACAGAAGTCACACAGTGTCGAGGAAATGGGAGGAAATCTGGTTTGATCCCAGGAAGGGAAGAACAGATCCAATTCCTGGGATCATGAGCCCCTCACCAGCATCAAAGCACCTCCTCTGTAAAATATGTAGAAACAGGTGGCCATTGTTGAAGCTTACAAATGGAAAAAGTAAGGCATACAAATGTGCTGAAAATATCTAATCAAGAGAGAACTCACAAGGGATTAAAGTTGCTTTTTTATGAAAATTATCATTAAAGTTGCTTTTTTATGAAAATTATCATTAAAGTTGCTTTTTTATGAAAATTATCATTAAAGTTGCTTTTTTATGAAAATTATCATTAAAGTTGCTTTTTTTATGAAAATTATCATTAAAGTTGCTTTTTTATGAAAATTATCATTAAAGTTGCTTTTTTATGAAAATTATCATTAAAGTTGCTTTTTTTATGAAAATTATCATTAAAGTTGCTTTTTTTTATGAAAATTATCATCACTGCTATATTGTAAACCAAGCAATAAACTCTTATGGGTCACTGAACATATTTTTAACTAGAAACAATATAGGAAACCATAAATTTGGCAGTAAGGGTGGATGAATGGAATAATATGTCACTGAAGAAGCAGAAAATTAAGATTTCATTCAGTTTATTAGTCTAGATGATTAATAATCCAGGAGAACCCAATAAACCTTATTTGCACTGAGCGAGCACTTTATATAGCTGAAAAAAAGATATTTTGACAAATACATGAGAGTTGGTACTTTAGTAGATAGGGTGTAGGACCTGCTCAGCCTAGGCCAGTCCTGTTCTTGTCCTTGATGTGGTGCTGCTAGTACATTGTTTCACCTGATGATTTTACCTCTGGTGTCTTTGACCTGGGAGACTTACCTCAGGGTACATGTTAATACCTGTTAGTAGCTGTGGGACCACCATGACCTCGTCTCAGACCAGGCCTACTATACTGGCATAATACCAGCGGAACACAGCATTTACTTATTACTCACACTACAAAACTGATGAACAGAGCAAAATAAAAAAAATATGACAACTCACCTGCTAGATCTGTGTCAAACAGTTCTAAACCTTTATGAACAAGGTCCCAGGACATCCTGCTCGTGTTTTATACTCTTTCAACCTCACAAATACCTATTTTTACACTCCAATTCTAGCACTTTACTTAATGAACAAACACTGTAACATCTGTATGAGAGGATACTGTTTTATGCATGAATTGAGCAACCTGCCCAAGTTCTTTTTTTTTTTTTGAGATCTTCACGGAATGTTCTTTATTTGTTGTCTTCGCTTCTTGGTGTTGAAATTCAACGCAGGAAGAGACATGTTCCACCTCGGTGACCAATCGTCGTGACAGCGTGGGTGATGAGGAGAGGCAGGTGGTGAGAGGCAGCCAGGTGAAGCACTCAGCCAGCTGAGGCTACCATGCAGGGTTCTAGGTCTCAGTGGTACCCGGCTCCGTTCATCACCCAATAATAATTTACCAACGTTGACAATTTACAAGTTTTACTCTAGAAAAGAAATAATTGTAAACATCAATTTATCTATCATTTCATGTCTAGGAAAAAGTAAGACTAAAATCACCCCTATAACATCTACCTGACCATGTGAAAGAAACTGCAGACCTAATGGAGGTGTTGTGTTGGGGGTAAGGGTAGTGTCAGCGCAGGGAGCCGCCTGGACACTACCGTCAGAGCTCCCCAGTAACATTAGTAAGTTTATTCAAGTATATACATTTAGTTACATAGATCATCATACATAACAGCATATGTGTCGAGAACCTAGGATAATCCAAAAAAGTCAGACAGTCACTTATTTCCACTGAATTCCTTTTAACACATTATTATACTATAAAGGAAATAATATCTTATTATTATACTATAAAGGCTATGTACTAGAAATAAGGTAAACTGAGTTATTTTTATTTACATGTGTTAGCTAAAAATATATAAAAAAAATTCTCCCTTTCGGTCGCTACATTCACTAGGCAACTTTTGGCTCTCTTCTTGAACTGGTTCATGCCTATGACTGGCTTTGAAATGTACAGGCAATCTGTTCCATTCCATTATTGCTGTACAATAAAAGGTGTTTGAAGCTTTAAAATTTCCCACTTCAAGGAAAACATCTTGATAAAGACGAGAAGACTTTATTCGAAGCATAAACCAGGAGGGTTATTAATCTAGGATACCCCAAGAAAGAAAGCCAAGTAGTGGGTCTTGCTTCCAATGGGATCCTCTAATCCTCCTCCGCAGGATGCATTCCAAAACAGTTGGCTATTATTCATAACAGGTACCATATCTATGTTCATTAATTATTGCTAAGAGAACAGGGACAACACGTGTAAGGAAACATGGCCCAACGTTTCCACCCACCCCAGGATCAAACTTAGGTCTTTCGCTTCTTACCTAGTTGCTCTATCCAGTTTGTTCATTCTGTTTTTCCAATTATTTTCCATTAAGGAATGCTTTCCTATAATTGTATTGCATTTTTTTTTTAATACAAGATAGTTTTCCACATGTTTTTTTCACACAAAATGGTTTTCTTGTTATTTTTTACCACATAGGATAGTTTCCCTCAATACTCCAACCAACTGGTGATGAAGTCTGTCGGCCTCAGCTGGGAGAGGTGGGTATGGTCCATGGTTCCCACCTGGATCACCTATATTCTCAAATACTATGATATGTATATCAGCTAACTTGCATTATTTTAAATTTTAATTTAACTAATGTATCATACTTAGTGATGGGTTTTAGTGTAACTGGTTCATTATCAATAATCTATAATAACCACAATAGCAAAAACTATAGCAAGATTAACAACAAAAATAAACATAATTCATGTACTGTATTAAGCAATGCAGAGAAGCGTTTAAAAGGATCGACACTATGCTCAGCTCTTCTAGGGTTGGGTAGGTGCCTGAGCCAGATCTTGCAGCTCACAAGACTGCCATTCCCATTAACCTCCCTGGTGCGGGGATGGCAGAACAGAGGCCTAGCTTCTCCCTACGAGCCGTGAGGGCGGGGAATGTGGCTAGGCCTGGGGACAGTTGGTTCCAACGATGAGGAGGTACTTGTACCTCCTCCCATGGCAGACATTAGTCTGAGATACTCCCGAAACGAAGCCAAGGCCCGGGCAGGGAGAGTACCGGAGAATCAAGAGAAGAAAAGAAATGTTTCAGATATGCAGCAGTGTTCCTGCCAACGATGCCTCTTCTAGCTAGTGATTCCTCTTCCAGCCAGTGATACCTCTTCCAGCCAGTGATACCTCTTCCAGCCAGTGATGCCTCTTCCAGCCAGTGATGCCTCTTCCAGCCAGTGATTCCTCTTCCAGCCAGTGATACCTCTTCCAGCCAGTGATGCCTCATCCAGTCAGTGATGCCTCGACTTAGTGATGCCTCATCCAGCCAGTGATACCTCTTCCAGCCAGTGATGCCTCTTCCAGCCAGTGATGCCTCTTCCAGCCAATGATTCCTCTTCCAGCCAGTGATACCTCTTCCAGCCAGTGATGCCTCTTCCAGCCAGTGATTCCTCTTCCAGCCAGTGATACCTCTTCCAGCCAGTGATTCCTCTTCCAGCCAGTGATACCTCTTCCAGCCAGTGATGCCTCATCCAGTCAGTGATGCCTCGACTTAGTGATGCCTCATCCAGCCAGTGATATCTCTAGGATTTTCCAAGTGTATATAATCATGTATCTTTCCCGGGGTTTGTGTATTACTTCACTGAACACTATAATTTTCATATTATATTCTGTCACACAGGATGGTATTATATCGTAACACACTATAGCTTGCCTGTTATATTCCATCCCAGGATGTTTTCCCTATTATATTCCTTCATCAAGGATGGTTTTCCTTTTATATTCCATCATACATAATGATTTTAATGGTATATTCCAGAACAAGAGAGTTTTGCCTTTTTCCCATCACAGGATAATTTTCCCCGTTATTTTCCACCACAGACTGGCATATCCTATTTCCATCACAAGCTACCTGGAGTTCATTACCTTTGTAACTAGTTCACCTATCATAACTTTGGGGTCCAGTCCCTGGACCCATTATGTACCTTTGTAATCTTTTGACTACCGCCCACAGGATGGGTATGGGGTGCATAATAAAGATATTAAACTAACTAATATCACAAGATGGTTTTCCGTTATTTTCATTCGCTTGATGGTTTTGTTGTCCATTTTATTGAATACAATATTGGTAAGTTTTGTCAAACGGGATGGTTTCCTTCAATACTCCAACCAACGGGTGATAATAATAATAATAATAATAATAATAATTTTTATTTCTATAAGTATATGAAGTCTGTCGGTCTCATTATTATTATTATAATCAAAAAGAAGCGCTAAGCCACAAGGGCTATACAGGGCTACTGTCGGCCTCAACTTTGAGGTGTATGATCCACATAAACATCCTGGATCATCTATAATATGTTCAAATACCAAGTAATGTATATCACCGACTTTCATTATTTTGTAATGTTTTAGTTTAATAATTGATGTATCAATACAAAAGGTTCATTATTGATAATCTATAATAATCACAATACCAGTTACTATAACAAGATTAGCAATAACACTAATAATCATTATACAAGTACTTACTAAACAGTGAAGAGACGTGTTTCCAGGTAGACAGCAGTGTGTTCCTGCTGTGATGCTTCTTCATTTAGTGATGTCTCTTCAGCCAGTGATGCCTCTTCAACCAGTGATGTATTTTCAGCCAGTGATGTATTTTCCAGCCAGTGAGGTCTGTTCCTGCCAGCAATGCTTCACCCAATCAGTGATGCCTCTGCCTATTGCAGTTAACTCATAAACACTTCAATCCGGCCCATGGCCTGGCAGGCAAAGCTCTCGCTTCACACGCTGAGGATCCGTGGTTCGATTCCCAGCAAGGGTGGAAACATTGGACGTGTTTCCTTACACCTGTTGTCCGTGTTCACCCATCAGTAAAATGGGTACCAGGGTGTTAGTCGACTGGTGTGGGTCGCATCCTGCGACAAAATTGACTCAATTTGCCCTAAATGTTCTGCATAACAAAAGTTTTTTTATATAGTAGTATGTTATTGATGTCAGCTATATAAATAAGTCATTACAATTATTATCGGATAATTAATTTGCAAGTAATTCATTACCACATTAACTTGCTTAAGGAAGAGTTGCTGGGATTCTTAGGATCAAGATGTTAGTTGTGTTGCCTGAGTATGTTTATTTCGGTACAGGTCCAGATAGGTACACTTATCATACATGGTAACATACGTGTAAATTTCCTTGGATAACCCCAAAAAAGTCAAAGTGATTTACTTCCAATGGGGCAGAGCTAGAATTTCTTTGCTGTGGGAGACATAGTGACGACTCTGGTTAGAAAGGGGTCGGGGGACTCGAGAAAACTTGTTTTGAAATTGTTTCTTTTTGAAACTTATAATTATTATTACTATTTTATTTGGGAGGGCATTGGTTGGCTGAGAAAATTTTGGGCGGGTTGAGTTCATTCAAGTATAGGTACACATAAATAGTTACATAAATTATCATACACAGCAGCATACGTATGTGTAGATAACGAGGATAATCCTAAAAAAAGTCAGTGACTTATTTGTACTGGGGTCCTTTTACTTCCATTGAGGTCCTAAAGTCCACCCAGGGTCCAGTCTCCTCTGGCGCTGCTTGAATAAGTTTATTTAGGTACAGGTACAGATACACATAAATACAGTTACATACATTATCATACATAGAAGCACATGAGCAGATTACCAGGGATAACCCAAACAAGCCAGACTGACTTATTTCCACTGGGGTCCTTGTGAGCGGTAGTTCAGAATAACAGGATTACAGAGGTCACAATGGGTCTTTATCAGACCCCACTGGGCATAACTACATCACAAAATGAGAAGTTAAGTTCACCGGCATCAAGCAATCCATGCCTTGAAGTTTGGCCATGGAAGTGCAACCTGAGAGTCGTCCAACAGATGGCAGGAGGTGTAGTGTCGCGTCCTGCTGGCTTCTGCTGCTGCTGCTGCTGCTGAGTTTGTTGGTAAACAGGCACTGGGACAGACATGACCACCTCTCTACTGGAAGATTCCTGACCCCATAACTTCCCTCCACCACTCTAGTTAGTCCTCATGACCTTCCTTACGTGAGCTGCAACTGGTGGTGGATGTGTGGTGTGCTGGGAGCTGTGTCTGGGATGGAGCCATGTGTTGGGTTCTCTGAGTGAATGGTTACAAAGTTTGTCACTGTTACTTTTAATGCTCACTATTGCCTCCTAATTAACAATAAGGAATGATATGCTGCAGAATAATAGAGGTTCAATTGAAGACTGATATTCGGAGGAAATCAGACATTTTATATTTAGCAAAAAAGTATACCACGGAATAAACGGTTATTTCTTGGTGAATTTATTTTCGGAGATGTTAGTAAAAACATTTTTTTTTTTTAGCACAAGCGAGATGTTCGAGTCAATTAACATTTATTATTAAGACTTGGCCAGTCACAGCCATGCAAACAAAGACGCAGCGAATGTAAAGGAGGACTGAATAAACCTATCATCAGCTTTGGCTGACAGATTCAGCATCAACCCTGAGACTTCTTGGTGATTCTAATAAATCCTGACCTCGGGTTTGTAGTGCTGAAGATCATCTGTATGTTCTCATGGTGCATCTATGTAGTGGACACACCTGACTGCCAACACATGTCATCACGTTACAACTGGAGAACAGCCACACCTGCCCTTGGTACCCCATGCAGGATGATACAGTTGAACACTTTCTACTTTATTGATCAAAGTTGTACTCTACCAGTTCCAAACTCCTCCATGGTTTAGTGCAGAAAAAGAAATTGACATCCTACTGTTTCAGTCCTCAGTTCTCTGGTTTTACCCCAGATTCGTATCTATGTTCTATGTGCTTCTTATTCCTTTCTCTGCATTGGCAGATTGAGCAATATCTAAGTACTGTACTAATCGAAAGCTTCAGTACCAGTCATCTAGGAGCAGGGCTTGTACAGCATAAGTCATCATAGCCTTACACATAACTTGCACATAGGAGAGAGAAGCTTGCCATGATGTTTTGGTCCGACTGGGCCAATGGTGGAGTAAGGTTATGATAGGTTATTTTAGATTGGGTTAGGTGGATTTCATTAGATTTAGTTACATTTCTTAACATTTACAAAACAAAATATCTCAAATGTAAAACCAACTTAAGATTGCACAATTTAAAATATGTTCACTGCTGTATATAATCAATTGCTAAAATCCACCAAGGAGCAGTCTTCAGTTATTTCCCTTTTTTTTCACAGGATTATAACAGTTAAACAGTTATTTTTGTGGTAGATGTAGAACTTTAGGGGTGCCTTAATGAACTAAACTTATATTTAAGCTTTGTATACATAATTTTATTTTGCAATGATCTTGAAGAGTTTCATGTTATGGGTACTTAAAAAGTGCCCAGTGATTTAATCCCATTGGAAATAAGTTACATCATTTTATATTTTTTACTAGGTTTAATCTACATAATGTACATATGTGCTCATAACATTTAGTATTATAATTGTCCAATAAGCACATGGAATGGGTTATGGGAAGATGAGCTAAAAATGTGTTATGATTTTTATAGTAGCAGGTGTAGGGGTAGTGTTTCCCATACCTCAGTCACATTTTAAACTCCATCCCAAAAGGAAGTGTCTCATTGGGTATTGCACAGCTTGTATGTTTATGGCATATAGAACTTTATAACTCATGTAGTGCCCATTCTAGAGTAAAGTGTGCATCTCCAGTTAGAGGCCTCTATATACCTGTATATAGAGGCCTCTAACAGCATCTTGCCTAGGTTCAAAATACAAGAACCTTTATCCCCGTGGTAGGTTAAAAGCTTCCCAACAATTTTTATTTAATTATTGTGCTGAGCCCATTTGATAACCTTGCTCATTTAAATAAGGAAATTTGTATTATGCCTTGTTTGTGTGTTAATTTATTTTAGGAGAATGTATAATAGTTGTAATATCTTTAACATTTAATTTTTTCCAGATTTTTATGTTATGGGTTTTGACCTGACAAGGTTCCAGGGGGAGGTGGATGAGGAGCTGCTTTGTCCTATATGCTCTGAAGTTCTGCAAGATCCACTCCAGGTAATTTTTGTAGTATTTAGATTTGCAGATTTGGCTTGAATTATTATGTTAACCATTAAACTGCTGAAGAGTCTAAAATAAATGCACCCTCAGGGCTGGCAATTTTGAAAAATAAAGTGATTGTCTTATAAAGAAATTCTCCTTGACTTTAGAAGTGTAACTAGATAACAAGAAACGCCATTACGCTGGACTTGGCTTGTCCAGTATGGTGACAAATTTCCTTTATGACGACTTTTTCTTGTCTTCAAGCCAATATACAGGCTTTTTCTTCACTGATAATCTTTGAACTACCCATATTTATCCACTTGGTACAAAATTTCATGGTGCTAAATACAGCTGCAAATTCTGAGCACTTGAGAGTATAGCAGTACAACAGAACACTTTGCTCATTGCTACATGCTGGTCCACTGAGAGGCAGTAGATAGCTTAAACTCTTGTATTAACTCAGAGAGTTGATGAATATGAAATAGAAGACATTTAGATATGTATAGCGTCAAATATGTAATATGAATTCAGATCGGATTATTTTTGCAATCACTGCATATTTTGCTTAATGAGGAACAAGACATTATCTTGTTTTCCTGGATCTTTGGTGACTGTGACACCTTGTACTGACCCCAGAATAGGTAGAATACAAAACTGTTTTTGAGCAGTCTCTTGTTCAAAACTGGTACCAATGTTCTACCTAACCTCTCTGGTACCCTGACTTCTGCTGTATCTTAACTTTGGAACTGGGTTTCCTATAATGCAGCCATCTTGGCTGATGGCCATTTGCCAAAAGATGACAATTAGTTGATGATGCTCACATAGTACACACACACACACACACACATTGATCACACACTAAGAAACTTCTTCTATTAACAGGAATCTTGCAAAAACATCTGATAATTTTTTTTCACTATAATTAATAAATCCCAAAGCATACTTGAGTGACTACAAATTTGCCAAGAACTCTTTGACCCAAGTTGGCCAAGATATATTCCAGCCTCTAGAAAAAAGTGGAATGCACATCATCCAGGTTAACGATGCTGACCAGACTGAAAAAGTAAGGAGTCTCCACATCATTGGGAGGACCACAGTAATCATACACTGACATGCCACCCTCATTTCCTACTAAGGGACTATTGTCTTCCTTACACAGTCATACTACAAGATTTCACACTGCTGTGAAAACCCAAATAAAATATAAGTCATAGTACCTCTCATAAACACACTAGATAACAGGGATATCTTGCTACTCCTACTTACACTTTGGTCACACTTCACAGACACGCACATGCATTATATATATATATATATACATACATCTAGCTTTCTCCTTTTTCTAAATAGCTCTTGTTCTTCCTTATTTCTTCTATTGTCCATGGGGAAGTGGAAAAGAATCTTTCCTCTGTAAGCCATGCGTGTCGTATGAGGCGACTAAAATGCCGGGAGCAATGGGCTAGTAACCCCTTCTCCTGTAGACATTTACTAAAAAAGAGAAGAAGAAAAACTTTATAAAACTGGGATGCTTGAATGTGCGTGGATGTAGTGCGGATGACAAGAAACAGATGATTGCTGATGTTATGAATGAAAAGAAGTTGGATGTCCTGGCCCTAAGCGAAACAAAGCTGAAGGGGGTAGGGGAGTTTCGGTGGGGGGAAATAAATGGGATTAAATCTGGAGTATCTGAGAGAGTTAGAGCAAAGGAAGGGGTAGCAGTAATGTTGAAGGATCAGTTATGGAAGGAGAAAAGAGAATATGAATGTGTAAATTCAAGAATTATGTGGATTAACCCCTTCAGGGTCCAAGGCCAAAATCTGAAGTGGTGCCCCAGTGTCCAAGAAATTTAAAAAAATTTTTTATATTTTTTCTTATGAAATGGTAGAGAATCTTTTTGTGAAGGTAATAAAACAAAAAGTACGAAATTTGATGGAAAATTGACGAAATTATGCTCTCATGAATTTTGATGTGTCAGCGATATTTACGAATCAGCGATTTTGCCGACTTTGACTCCCATTTTAGGCCAATTACATTATTCCAGTCGACCAAATTCTTAGCTATTTCACTAGTATTACTTCTATTTTATAGATTGAGCACAAGAAATCGCCAAGTCAACTGTTTCAACTACAAAATAAAGCAACTGGAAATTGGTAATTTGGCCAATTTAACACAAAGTTCAAAATGTTCCAATTTCAAAATAGGGTCCAGAATAAACAATGTAGATATTCCTGGCACTAAACTAACATTTCCTCTGTTCATTAGTTATGTTTTGAAGCTTTACAAATAAATTCCATTTTGATTTTTTTATTCACTTAATGAATTTTTATTCACACCAAAAAATAGAAGATTTACTGTTATGCAATATTGTAATAATTGTATAAATATCATCACCACATTTGTGAATGTATATTAGAACCACCAGCTGGCGTGTATTAGACGTGTGAGGTCGTTTGTTTACTCTTTAACATCAGAAAAATTTAACATTTCCGCCACTTTGAGCTCAGTTTCAAGCCATTTCCAGTGCTAAAACCAATCAAAATTATCTCTATTTCTGTAAAATGTCTTCCATTCTATCAAAGGAGACCAAGAAATCACAAATACAACTATAAAAAACATAGGAAAAAACACTGCAAAGTAGCTGTTTTAGTCGAAAATCAGTCTCAGTTTTTTTCTCTCATTATACACAGTGTGCTGCAGGATTTGTTTTATGTGGTGCACACATACCACATAGATGTATTCTCTCATACCTAGGTCCAAATTTACCACTCACAGTTTATCAGAGTGAGCTGAGCTCATGACATAGATCTACAGTTTGGACCCTGAATATAAAGCCATAGATCTATGGGATGGACCCTGAAAGGGTTAAAGTAAAGGTTGGATGCAAAACGTGGGTCATAATAAGCATGTATGCACTTGGAGAAGAGAGGAATGTAGAGGAGAGAGAGATTTTGGGAGATGTTAAGTGAATGTATAGGAGCCTTTGAACCAAGTGAGAGAGCCATTGTGGTAGGGGATCTGAATGCTAAAGTAGGAGAAACTTTTAGAGAGAGGGTGTGGTAGGTAAGTTTGGGGTGCCAGGTGTAAATGATAATGGGAGCCCTTTGATTGAACTTTGTATAGAAAGGGGTTTAGTTATAGGTAATACATATTTTAAGAAAAAGAGGATAAATAAGTATACAAGATATGATGTAGGGCGAAATGACAGTAGTTTGTTGGATTATGTATTGGTAGATAAAAGACTGTTGAGTAGACTTCAGGATGTACATGTTTATAGAGGGGCCACAGATATATCAGATCACTTTCTAGTTGTAGCTACACTGAGAGTAAAAGGTAGATGGGATACAAGGAGAATAGAAGTATCAGGGAAGAGAGAGGTGAAGGTTTATAAACTAAAAGAGGAGGCAGTTAGGGTAAGATATAAACAGCTACTGGAGGATAGATGGGCTAATGAGAGCATAGGAAACGGGGTCAAAGAGGTATGGGGTAGGTTTAAAAATGTAGTGTTAGAGTGTTCAGCAGAAGTTTGTCGTTACAGGAAAGTGGGTGCGGGAGGGAAGAGGAGCGATTGGCGGAATGATGTAAAGAGAGTAGTAAGGGAGAAAAAGTTAGCATATGAGAAGTTTTTACAAAGTAGAAGTGATGCAAGGAGGGAAGAGTATATGGAGAAAAAGAGAGAGGTTAAGAGAGTGGTGAAGCAATGTAAAAAGAGAGCAAATGAGAGAGTGGGTGAGATGTTATCAACAAATTTTGTTGAAAATGAGAAAAAGTTTTGGAGTGAGATTAACAAGTTAAGGAAGCCTAGAGAACAAATGGATTTGTCAGTTAAAAATAGGAGAGGAGAGTTATTAAATGGAGAGTTAGAGGTATTGGGAAGATGGAGGGAATATTTTGAGGAATTGTTAAATGTTGATGAAGATAGGGAAGCTGTGATTTCGTGTATAGGGCAAGGAGGAATAACATCTTGTAGGAGTGAGGAAGAGCCAGTTGTGAGTGTGGGGGAAGTTCGTGAGGCAGTAGGTAAAATGAAAGGGGGTAAGGCAGCCGGGATTGATGGGATAAAGATAGAAATGTTAAGAGCAGGTGGGGATATAGTTTTGGAGTGGTTGGTGCAATTATTTAATAAATGTATGGAAGAGGGTAAGGTACCTAGGGATTGGCAGAGAGCATGCATAGTTCCTTTGTATAAAGGCAAAGGGGACAAAAGAGAGTGCAAAAATTATAGGGGGATAAGTCTGTTGAGTATACCTGGTAAAGTGTATGGTAGAGTTATTATTGAAAGAATTAAGAGTAAGACGGAGAATAGGATAGCAGATGAACAAGGAGGCTTTAGGAAAGGTAGGGGGTGTGTGGACCAGGTGTTTACAGTGAAACATATAAGTGAACAGTATTTAGATAAGGCTAAAGAGGTCTTTGTGGCATTTATGGATTTGGAAAAGGCGTATGACAGGGTGGATAGGGGGGCAATGTGGCAGATGTTGCAGGTGTATGGTGTAGGAGGTAGGTTACTGAAAGCAGTGAAGAGTTTTTATGAGGATAGTGAGACTCAAGTTAGAGTATGTAGGATAGAGGGAAATTATTTCCCAGTAAAAGTAGGCCTTAGACAAGGATGTGTGATGCCCACCGTGGTTGTTTAATATATTTATAGATGGGGTGGTAAGAGAAGTAAATGCGAGGGTCTTGGCAAGAGGTGTGGAGTTAAAAGATAAAGAATCACACATAAAGTGGGAGTTTTCACAGTTGCTCTTTGCTGATGACACTGTGCTCTTGGAGATTCTGAAGAGAAGTTGCACAGATAGGTGGATGAATTTGGTAGGGTGTGCACAAAAGAAGAAAATTAAAAGTGAATACAGGAAAGAGTAAGGTTATGAGGATAACAAAAAGATTAGGTGATGAAAGATTGGATATCAGATTGGAGGGAGAGAGTATGGAGGAGGTGAATGTATTCAGATATTTGGGAGTGGACGTGTCAGCGGATGGGTCTATGAAAGATGAGGTGAATCATAGAATTGATGAGGGGAAAAGGGTGAGTGGTGCACTTAGGAGTCTGTGGAGGCAAAGAACTTTGTCCTTGGAGGCAAAGAGGGGAATGTATGAGAGTATAGTTTTACCAACGCTCTTGTATGGGTGTGAAGCATGGGTGATGAATGTTGCAACGAGGAGAAGGCTGGAGGCAGTGGAGATGTCATGTCAGAGGGCAATGTGTGGTGTGAATATAATGCAGAGAATTCGTAGTTTGGAAGTTAGGAGGAGGTGTGGGATTACCAAAACTGTTGTCCAGAGGGCTGAGGAAGGGTTGTTGAGGTGGTTCGGACATGTAGAGAGAATGGAGCGAAACAGAGTGACTTCAAGAGTGTATCAGTCTGTAGTGGAAGGAAAGCGGGGTAGGGGTCGGCCTAGGAAAGGTTGGAGGGAGGGGGTAAAGGAGGTTTTGTGTGCGAGGGGCTTGGACTTCCAGCAGGCATGCGTGAGCTTGTTTGATAGGAGTGAATGGAGACAAATGGTTTTTAATACTTGACGTGCTGTTGGAGTGTGAGCAAAGTAACATTTATGAAGGGGTTCAGGGAAACCGGCAGGCCGGACTTGAGTCCTGGAGATGGGAAGTACAGTGCCTGCACTCTGAAGGAGGGGTGTTAATGTTGCAGTTTAAAAACTGTAGTGTAAAGCACCCTTCTGGCAAGACAGTGATGGAGTGAATGATGGTGAAAGTTTTTCTTTTTCAGGCCACCCTGCCTTGGTCTTCCTTTGCAGATGACACCCGAATCTGCATGACAGTGTCTTCCATTGCAGACACTGCAAGGCTCCAGGCGGACATCAACCAAATCTTTCAGTGGTCTGCAGAAAACAATATGAAGTTCAACGATGAGAAATTTCAATTACTCAGATATGGTAAACACGAGGAAATTAAATCTTCATCAGAGTACAAAACAAATTCTGGCCACAAAATAGAGCGAAACACCAACGTCAAAGACCTGGGAGTGATCATGTCGGAGGATCTCGCCTTCAAGGACCATAACATTGTATCAATCGCATCTGCTAGAAAAATGACAGGATGGATAATGAGAACCTTCAAAACTAGGGAGGCCAAGCCCATGATGACACTCTTCAGGTCACTTGTTCTATCTAGGCTGGAATATTGCTGCACACTAACAGCACCTTTCAAGGCAGGTGAAATTGCTGACCTAGAAAATGTACAGAGTACCTTCACGGCGTGCATAACGGAGATAAAACACCTCAATTACTGGGAGCGCTTGAGGTTCCTAAACCTGTATTCCCTGGAATGCAGGCGGGAGAGATACATGATTATATACACCTGGAAAATCCTAGAGGGACTAGTACCGAACTTGCACACGAAAATCACTCACTACGAAAGCAAAAGACTTGGCAGACGATGCAACATCCCCCCAATGAAAAGCAGGGGTGTCACTAGCGCGTTAAGAGACCATACAATAAGTGTCAGGGGCCCGAGACTGTTCACCTGCCTCCCAGCATACATAAGGGGGATTACCAACTGACCCCTGGCAGTCTTCAAGCTGGCACTGGACAAGCACCTAAAGTCGGTTCCTGACCAGCCGGGCTGTGGCTCGTACGTTGGTTTGCGTGCAGCCAGCAGTAACAGCCTGGTTGATCAGTCTCTGATCCACCAGGAGGCCTGGTCACAGACCGGGCCGCGGGGGCGTTGACCCCCGGAACTCTCTCCAGGTAAACTCCAGTGTGATAATAAAAAAAAAATAACCTCTCATCACCAGAGTTGAAACTTATGTCTGCCCAGTGATAGTACCCAATCAAGGTAACTAATCTGATACTTGATTGCCATGAACTTCCCTCACTCTCAGTGAGAAAACTCAAACCAACACCACAACAGTGCCACAAATGCTAGCAGTATGGCCAGCCCTCAGAATATTGATGATCACCAGAAGAATATCCACTCTGCAGAAACACATCATAATGACCAACTATATATATAGTATATAAAAAAGGAGGAAATTGTTAAGGTTACTGCTAACTGACCTCTCAAAAGAGGCTCCTTGAAAGCATTGGTCAGTTAGGACTATTTTTCCCTTACATTGTTTGACCTGCATAATTTAACTTCCTCTTGATGACACTAAAGCTTTATTTCAGGCTCCTTCATGTGAACATGCTTTCTGCAGTGGTTGCATCAATGAATGGTTGTCCAGGCAGCAGACTTGTCCGGTTGATCGCCAACCTATTACCTCTTCTCAGCTTAAGTCCGTACCGAGGATACTTCGTAGTTTACTTTCAAAGTGAGTTTAATTTTACTGTAACCACTGTTGAGGAATGTGTGAAATGCATTATTCTTGTATTGAAATTATGAAAAAGTTACATTCTTAAGCTTTATAAGACAGGAGTAACATTTTGAGATGTTTTAAAAGTGAAATAAAAATTTTTTTATTTTAATTAAGAATTAACTGGTTGGGTTAATGAAAAAATAGTTAAATTTTTTCATTATGGAAGTATCATTGTGAAGCATAAAAAACATCCTAAAAGGCTCATTTCATAATCTTGCCTGAAGATGCTTAATAATATTCCTTGTTTGGGATAATGGTTCTTTGGGAAGGGAGTTATTTTTTAATTTGAAATACAGCAATTCTGAGTACCGTGCATTGCATCTGATCCAGTACAATTACGACTTGGACCCTTTTGATTAAAAAAAAATTGTAGTAGAAAAAATAAAAACAATATGGAGTTGAGCTCTAGTTCCTAAGCTTATTGTGTTGAGTTCCTGCTTCTGGCACTACATGAGTGATATCTTAATAAATCACTTAAATCAGTAGATCAAGTGATATGTTATTTGAAACATATCTAGTCAGCAGTAATTTAATGAATATTAAGTTGCAGTTGTGGTACAATGTGTTCTTTGATCGACTTGACTGTGTTGCTGGATCAGTATATGTTGTTTAAATGTTAACTATCAGAGTTGGTTACTTTAAAATGATAGAATAGATGACATTTCTACTTTGCAGGATGTTTCTTTCATAGTAAGAAACTGTGATTTATCTTAATAGGAAGCTAATAAAAGTCATACTTCTACTGCTAAATTGTTCTCATTTACCTCAGGCTATATATATCCTGTGACAACAAATCTCATGGTTGTATATCAGTTGTAAAACTTGATGCCTTGAGTTCTCACTTAGAAGAATGTGAATTCAACCCCAAGCGTCCGGTTCCATGTGAACAAGGGTGTGGCCTAGTTGTTCCAAAGGATGAGTTAAAGGTATGACCATCTTGTTCTCAAACCTATTTTAATATACCATTTAAATAAGACTAAATTATGAGAATGTTATTTGGTATGCAATTGCCTGTGAAAATTCACAAGGGGTTACATTTTGGAGGTCATGTGAGACTAAAAACTGTGAATAATACAAAATTGCCTTTATAACAAATTTAGTTGAAGAATTGTTTTAAGAATTAGGTTCATTTTGCATTATAGAAACCATTTTTATAATATATCACACTAATCTGGCTAATTTGGATAATCATAAGGAATATTGGCAAGAATAAAAGAGAAATTTTGGGTATGGGAAAGCTGTTGAGCCAGAAAAAACATTGAATAATCAAATCTATTTGTTGGTTGCCCTAAAGAGTAACTAGTGAATAGATAATTAATATCCAAATAATACTGAAGCCTTTGGATTTGTAAGAATGACTGCATTATACTGGATTTATCCTATACATATATAAAATTCTAAATTATAAAGTTAAGCAAGTTTGTATATAGTACTTGTTAAAGTATTCTGGGTGGAAGGTACCCAACATACATTAATGTCCACCTAGTAGGCATTTCTGTGAGACAAAAAGTTATGCTGGCCTTGTAACTTATAGGGGGACATTCTGGGATTGCTGAGGCTACTGGCTGCATCCTAAGTGCCTTCTATGCTTGTGTAATGGCCAAATTTGTGTCTGCAGTTTCCCTGTTCATGGCTGCGTATAGAGCCAAGCTCGTTGGACATTTTTGGCAATTTACAATTTAACATGAGTAGGAATAAGTCACTGACTCAAGAGACAGATGTGTAGCTCATTGGATTACTTAAAACAGGTCATCAAATGAAAGAAATACTAGAAGTTTTTTGATGTGTGAGCACTGAGTGAGAGCTTGGTTGCATCAGTTTCTTGAGGATGGTGTTGATGTTATTCTCACACCAAAAGCATTCTCAGAAACATCCTTACTAATGTTAACCATATTTACTTACCTAGAATCACTTGAATCTTTCACACCACAGTGTGATGTGAAGATTTGTATGGAAGATGGTGCTCCTTGCCACACTGTGAAATCTGTTATTTATTGGCTTCATGACTGTGAGATACCCTTCTTTGATGACTAACCATGAAATTTCCCAGTCTTGAACCCCATTGAGACTCTTTATGCTATTATAAAGTAAGATCTACTAAGGGAAGGATATTGGCCAACTCCCATGGCTGCAGGATGCCATCTGTGAGTCAGGGGAGAATTTACCCATGAAACCCTGGAGAATGTATATTAATGACTTCCTAGACAGTTGAAGGATGTTGTAAAACATAAAGGATGACCTGTTTTGTGGTCATGGTATGAGAGGGAGGGCTGGCATACTTTAATGACAAACACTGTACCACTTAATGAGCTGTAAGGTAATATATTATCATGTTAGAATGTGCCATTTTTATTAACAGTGGACCAATCCATAATACAGAATAACAGTATTTTCTAAGTAAAAGTGGTATGAACTGTAGAGTAACTCCATATACTCTGTATATGCCATATACAGTTTCATTCAAGGTTCTAAACACTTCAATAGATTTTTCTATCATATTGTTCGGAAGTAATATGTGATCTTCCGATTTTGACCATATATTCAGTAGGGCTTTGATGTAGGATGTACCAGCTTAAAAAAATTAAACAATTAAGACATTAGCACATGGAACCAGTTAGTGACATATAAATACTAATCTCCAGTTACACTCGTTGCACATACAGCCTCTCCTCACGTAACAACGTATGTACTAGTTTACTGAGGACTCAGACTTACGACGGGCCCTCTGACCAGTATACATACCTAAATAATGTATATTAGAGCTGATTTCCTCAGTTCTGTTTATTACAATATACAGTACACTGCTGTATAAACATTTAAATTTTTTTTTTTTTTTCCAACAAGTCGGCCGTCTCCCACCGAGGCAGGGTGACCCAAAAAAGAAAGAAAATCCCCAAAAAGAAAATACGTATACTAAAAATGTTATAAATGGTGCAAAGGTGACATTAAAACAATATCAAAGATGGTTGACACACACCCACTACCATTATAGTATGCTCCTTGCTTAGCAATGAATTCATTTACAGATGTGGTCTTAGGAACGGAACTCCATCGTTAAGTGAGGAGAGGCTCTATTAAAATAAGGTTTTAAGACATTGGCACTCTGGAATTGATTAATTGCATATAAATGCCAATCTGCAGTTATGATCATTGCAAATATTGATTTAAGTAGTACTGTAGTGAATGCATCATCTCTCGAGTCTCATAATATGCACATTTCAGGATCATAATTGCCTTCGAGAGTTACGAAGTTTGATACAAAATCAGTCGGGTAAAATTGCAGAGTTACAGCAAGAGCTCGCTGAAAACAAATACCAACTCAATGAACAAAAACGGGAAATTCAACTTCTAAAGGTATTGCTGTCAAGTTTTAGCCTTTTTTTTTTTAAGTAGTACTTGATCATTTACATTCTGGCAGTCTATCTGTCTACATTCTTTGTTTCTTCTCAGAAATTCCAATTCCTGAAAGAGTTGCTTTTGAAATGCAGTATGCTGTTCACTTTAGTACTAATCATGTAATATTCTTCAAAAGTTTACTATTCTTAAAATGTGGTGTAGTCCTGACAGAATGTGAGAATTAAGTACTGTATAAAGTTTCAGTGTGTGTTTACAGAAGAGGACACCCCAGATAAAGCAGATTCAAAATCCTTGACGGTTCACTGAAATATCCAAAATGTGTCATTTTTCAGTTTTTTGTCAGTTTGTAATGAAATCTCAAAAAATTTCCAGAGTAGATAGCATGGTCTCCTAAGACCCATGGTTTTATCTTTTCTATTTTTTTTTAACACACTGTCCCACTCTCACTAAGGTAGGATGACCCGAAAAAGAAGAAACACTTTCATCATCGCTCACTCCATCCCTGTCTTGCCAGAGGCTCTCTTATAGCACAGATCAGATGCCCCTCCAAACTGCAAGTATCCCCACCCATCCTTCAGAGTGCAGGCATTGTACTTCCTGCCTCCAGGACTGGCTAACTGGTTTCCCTGAATCCCTTCATAAATATTGCCTTGCTTACACTCCATGGGAGTATGAAGAAAAATCCTTCCTCCATAAGCCTTGCTTGTCATAAAATGCAACTAAAATGCCGGGAGCAAGTGGCTAGTAACCCCTTCTCCTGTATTAATTACTAAATATAAAAGAATTTTTTTCTGTGTCTTGATTTAAATCAGTTTCAACCAGTCTTGTTTCAATTGCCCAAAATGCTCATCATAACAAGGGACTTTTTATAAAAAAAAAGTCTTCACCATTGTCTTCATTTTGTTTAGACTTACTCTGTTTCTCATCTGTTTTAACAAGTGTTTAGTGGTTTTGTTAATCAAATTCTATGCACAAATTCCAAAAGTAAATGCATCACACATTGACCGAAGCATGAATAAAATAAGGCAGTATTACTATAGGCATAAAAAACAAAGGTAATAGGGAGAAAATTAGGAGAAATCTCTCATCATCTTCTAATCAATCCCCCTCTCTCAACCCTTCTAGTCAGTTTGGCTGCACTCTGATGTTTCATCTTTTCCTATGTCCAGCACAAACCAGTAAGATGCTACTCAAGGTGGCTACATGGTCAGTGTACTACAGCATCCACAGTGAGTTCTTTCTAGATTAGGTGCTTTCAATGCCAGACATTATTAGCATTGGCCCATTAGCAACCCTGTGGGTATCTACACCTGCAGCTTATCATGGCAACTGAACTTAGTATATTGCTCATTACACAGGGAGAATAAATTGTGAAAAATGGATTACACCTTAAGATTCATGAAAGAAAGTCAGCTCAGGTAGGAGACCAAGGTGAAGTTATTGAACCAGCAGTAACATCACACTTTTCTTCCAGTGGCCAAGAGCTACCATTCACTGTTACCCAGTTTCACAGCTTGCACAGGGAATGTGTGCCCACACCTGCAATGAAAATACTAGAAGTCTGCATGACTTAATTGAGGCTCCTGGATCTCTGGTATGTTAGAAGTACATCAGACTGAACTGCTGATTCCTGGGGGTGAAAATAAAGTACATTAATACATTACACTGTTCATATACATACAGCCTGTCACTGAGAATTTAGCAGCATTGGGACTAGGAGCTTGTCAAAATAAGAAAGTTTTCCAAGTAAAATCATAAAATTTATGGGACATAGAAAGAAAATTAACCACCCAGGAAGGTACTACTGCCCTGCCAAGTGAGTGTGAAATGGAAACCTGTAGTTGTTTTACATGATGGTAGGATTGCTGGCATCTTTTTCTCTATGGAACAATGCTCTTCTCCAGACTGAGGGACTGACCACCTCAAAACTTTAAGGGTGATGGACTGATTACATCGTCTTCAAGTATCTTCTGCTTCTATCAACTTTTCTGTACTTGACTGAAGAAGCCTACTGTGTAGGCGAAACGTTTCATAATAAAGATACCTAACTGTTGCATATGTGTCTTACCTAACAATCTTTTTTCTCTTCCATAAACATGCAAGGTTGCAGGTATGTCTTGCTACTCCTACTTACACTTAGGTCACATTACACGTGTATGTACAAGCATACATATACACACCCCTCTGGGTTTTCTTCTATTTTTTTCTTGCTTATTTACTCTTATCTCCATGGGGAAGTGGAGCAAAATTCTTCCTCCGTAAGCCATGCGTGTTGCAAAAGGCCACAAAAATGCTGGGAGCAAGGGGCTAGTAACCCCTTCTGTATACATTGCTAAATTTAAAAACGGAAACTTTCATTTTTCTTTTTAGGTCACCCTGCCTCGGTGGGATATGGCCGGTTTGTTGAAAAAAAAAATTAAATTTAATGTCAGGGCCAAGTTTGTGACTGATCTCAAGATCTGTAGTGTTTCTTGACTACTTATACAGTATACTGCATTTTGTGGTGAAAACATACAGCATTGTATTTTGCTGAAAATAATTAGACACCTCAAATCATCCCATTGTTTAATAAAATTGACACTGCATTTTCCTTCACATTGTAAGATAAAAAAAAAAAATATATATTAATGTAGTATGTAGATGGATGGGTGGAGTAGAAGTTATTTTTTTTGCTTATTTGAAATTATGTTAGATGTGCAACACAGTCAGTCTAGAATGATTGGGCATGAAGTGCAGTGAGAGGAAAGCTGGGGTGAAATGAAAATAATAGGGTACTTATTAATACCTGTAGTTGTCTTTTGTCAAATACTGTGCAGTACACACAGCTGTACATTATATATATCATGTATAGTAGTAGCAGGCATGGGAAGTGGATAATTACTGCACACTGTATATGTAACAGTGTTTGCTGATAAGATCATTGATTACTATATCATTGTGTTGCTTGTGTGTTTTGTTTTGGTGGCTTACCAATCAACTGTTAGAGATTTTTTTTTTTTTTTTTTTAGTTCCCTGTTGCTTAAATTACATAACTCACTTATAAAAACCAACATGTTAACTCTTGAAACATTGTAGTTTAGACCATGACTGGGAAGAATGTCGTACAAACACACACACCTTGCCAATTTTTTTTTTCCTGTCTACTCACCCTTGGGAACACCCATAATTTTTGGGGAAACTATTGGTAAATATTATAAGAGATTTCCTGATAGTTCTCCATGGGAAAGTGGAGAAGAATCCTACCTCCGTATGCCATGTGTGTCAAAAGAAGTGACTAAAATCCTGGATGCAAGGAGCTAGCGACCCCTTCTGCATAAATTTCTAAATATAAAAAGAAGGAACTGTTTCATTTTTTTTGGGTCACCCTGCCTTGGTGAGAGATGGTCGTTGTGTTAAAAAAAAAATGAGTCAAACATATTTTGATTGACTGCTTTACTAATTCAAAAGCAGACAGCTTCATTAATGACAACTCTTTCAATGTTGTAACGACCTCAGTGTAGCCACTCCAGTCTAGCCTCTCTTTTCTTTGAAACTCTGATATGCTTACTCTGCCCTCCTTTCTGATGATACTTGCTTTTAGTGCGGACTCTCCCATTCTTAACTGACACTGATTTACCATATCAACCATGACCCTCTTCCTCTTCACTAGATTTTTGCTGATGCCCTTCCCCATAACACTTTCATATTTCCCCTCCTACATTTCTCACTTATGCCATGTAGCAGTAAATGGACCTTGTTGGTTAGTGCTTTCCATTAATATAACAGCATGGAGGTAGCAGGTACAGTGCATGCACTCTGAAAGTGGAGTGGAGATATTACAGTTTGGAGGATCACTTGAATTGAATGAGTGATAGTGAGTGTGTTTTGTTTTTGGGTTACCCTACCTTAGTGGGTGACAGCCAGTGTGTATAAAAGTATTTTTCTCCAAAGTTGCACCTTTAATTCAGGCTCTCCTGTAACCTCTTTCCTTTGAAAATGACTTGTCATCAACTATGACTCTCCACAGTTATACCCAACCTTCACATTTCTACTCTAATAACATTAGCACAGCATTTGCCATGCAATAGTGAATAACCCACATATATTTAGTACTTATCAGTGACACTAACAATTATTTTCCAAAATCCTACTTATAATTAAGGAAAAACACAATAGAAGAAGTTATTGTATAACTATATTTTTCTGCAAGGCCTGTATTGTTGGTTTATTTACATGCTTGTTTATTATTATTACGTATAACCAAAACAAGCACTAAACCCACTAGGGTCATACAGCGCTGACATGCTTGTTTTTTATTATTATCACACTGGCCGATTCCCACCAAGGCAGGGTGGCCCGAAAAAGAAAAACTTTCACCATCATTCACTCCATCACTGTCTTGCCAGAAGGGTGCTTTACACTACAGTTTTTAAACTGCAACATTAACACCCCTCCTTCAGAGTGCAGGCACTGTACTTCCCATCTCCAGGACTCAAGTCCGGCCTGCCGGTTTCCCTGAACCCCTTCATAAATGTTACTTTGCTCATGCTTGTATAATCATAATTAAAATAAATATTTAGTTTATATGAGGCGACTAAAATGCTGGGAGCAAGGGGCTAGTAACCCCTTCTCCTGTATATATTACTAAATGTAAAAGGAGAAACTTTCATTTTTCCTTTTGGGCCCACCCCCCCTCGGGGGGATACGGCCGGTGTGTTTAAAAAAAAAATTTTATATATATATATAAAATATATTATTTTTTATATTATATATATAGATATATATTATATATATATAATAAATATATATATATATATAAATATATATATATATATATATATATATATATAGTTAGTAGGTTGTAGACAGCAACCACCAGGGAGGTACTACCGTCCTGCCAAGTGAGTGTAAAACGAAGCCTGTGATTGTTTTACATGATGGTAGGAAATTGCTGATGTCTTTTGTCTGTCTCATAAATATGCAAGATTACAGGCATGTCTTGCTACTTCTACTTAACT